ATCTCGGACCAATATATCTTGGGCCAATCTATCTTAGACCTATCACTCTTGGGCATAACAAAGTACTATATTTAACTCATGCCCATGTGTTTTTTCCCTCCTGTGTAGCACACTTTCTATTTTTCCGTGATTTTGCCTTTGATAAATTTTTCCAACATTTTTCCTCGGTGCATTGGCATCATGAATTCAGTGTTCACTCTGGAGGTTACAAATGTTTACAGCAAGTAAGTTTCTCTCTGACAGCACGGGGCAGGCTTGTTCCCAGCGCGGCTCTGGGCTCTGGGGACAGTGCAGCCATTAGCAATTGGCAAACTGGGGGTCAGTCGTCTCTGGCACAATCCAGACTTGAGAGCCCAGTGCTGCCCAAGGGTGGGCCCCTGGTGGTTCGCATCACTGGCTCCTCGAACCCGGGTCTTGAACCGCTGCCAAGCGTCGCCACCCACATGTGTGCTCCAGTTTGTACCCTTGGGACTCCGCCTGTCAGGCACTGGATGGTAACAGGGAGAGGCAGCCTGCGGGGCACTGGATCCACTCGGGGGGGAGAGGGCAGATGCTGAGCGGGAACTTCTCCGGCCTTATTGGCTCTGGAACCCAGTGGCACGCAAAGTGTGCAGGACGAGTGCCTGGGAAACCACCTCACCGTCCTCCTTGCAGCGTTGTCCAGGCAGACCATACCATTCCAGACGGCGCTATCTAGGGAAGATTTGGGGGGAAGAGAAAAGTATACTGAGCTTAGAGAGGCACAGGAACTAGCAGAGCCATGAGAAACTGACCCTCATTGACACAGGCCTGGGGTCACATTCCCTCGCAGTGGATTGTGGTCACTTGAAAGGGTGGCCTGGACAGGGCAGTTATGCAGGGGGCAAAGTGCGGAAGCCAAGAGATGCCACATGTGGCAGGATCCGTGGGATTTTGTTCAGGTAAGATGAAACTTTAATGGAGGAAGGTTCATCCCTTTTTATTTTTTAATTTTTTTGTTCTGATATTTTTATTTAGCCATTCCTTTCTGACCAAATATTTAATGTGATTATACATTATTTATCTTCTAATCAATTATTGTCCAATATTACCAGTCTCTAGAATTCACGATTCACTACATCCTTTTTAGAATAACCCAGAAGCAGCCAAGGAACATGGCCCAGAGATCACTGCCTGCCCTGTGGTGAGGATGCTCATGGGAATTTCTCGGCCCACACAGCTCCCCCAAACTGTGGAGCATGGGGACAGGCACCAGAGCTGGTAAGACCTGTCCCTGCATAGTGACCCAGTAGGGAGTGTCTGGGTGCATTTTACAAGCACCAGGAATCTGGTGTTGAGTTCCATCCTCCAAGAATTATCACCTCGGTGCATTCCTGACTGCAGCAGCTACCCTTATCTGGGACTGGGCCGAGGAAAAACAGAGCTGGAAAGGTGATAGGTCAGTGATGATAAGCTTCTTGACTGGACCATCCTCTTAAGCCAAGACCCTCTATACAATGTCTGTATAGTTGGCAATCAAGTGAGTGGCCATCAGCTGTCTCTCGGAGTGGTTTCTCCACGCACCCTTTATCCTTCGCCCCGCGTCTGCCTGGACCCAGTGTGCAACGTGTCTGGGCACGCTGGGGAAAAACAGTTCCCCAGCACCAAACCTCTTCAGGAAACCTTGGATTCCAATGGCCACTGACACCGGCCTGGTGCTGGGCGCCCACTGCTAGTCTGGGTTAGTAACAGCAGCTGGAGAGCAGTGCAGCCCCACACTCATTTCTGACCTTCGCAGTTCCCCCAGCACTGCCCTACACAGCACTCTGAGCAGACCCCCATGTCCAGGAACCTCCTGGAGCCTCCAGCTGTCCAACCCCCGGGGTGCAGATGGCAGACGGGAGGGTGGAAGTGGCATCAGCTGCCAGACACCACGCCTGTCCCAAAAGAAACAGCTTTTGTACTTGCAGAAAAGCTACCAGAAAATGAGGCTTTTTAATGGTGGGATTTCTCAAGGTTTCTTTTTTGTGTGTGTGTGGGGGGGTGTTGGGGGGGAGGGTTGGTGCAGGAGGTGAAACCCAGGACCTCACACATGCTCTGTCCAGGCGCCATCCCTCCTGACCGCTGGCACTTCCCTGTGATTCAGTGATCTTGTCCCTTTGATCGACATCCTTGGAAGGAAAGCTGGGTCAGAGGCCATGCTGACAGTGGGAAGGAGCAGCAGTGATCCATACTAACAAGGAATGTTCTCTTGAGAACAGCAAGAAACAGAACACATGCGAAGGACTAAACTGTCCATTCACCAGAGGACCCGCCGCCTTCTGCTTTGAAAATCTGTCATTCAAGGCTTGTTTCCTCTGTCTATTCCTAAAAAGAATGTAGATCTAGAATAAGGCAGAATCTTACATCTTTTCATCTTTATTTTACATTATATTTGACTCACTTCATTCACTTAATTATAATAGTATACGGGAAAAGTTCTGATCACTGACCTTTCACCTCCATTTACACGAGAATTCAATCACATAGAAAAAATATTTTCTCATTAATAGTATCAGGTGTATCAACAGTGTGATTTATTTTTAGTTATGGAATGAAGAAAACATTTGGGTGCAGATTTTCCAAAAATGATAACCCTGAAATTAATGGTCATTAAAGGAGTTCTGGGTTTTACCTTTTTTAAATATAAAAATCATTATTTAGAATCTCACAGTGAAGAGGTCCTAAATTCCTTATACAACATGAACTTATATAAAAATAGAAGACATAGACATCTTTAACTCTTTAATCCTTTGATTAAGCAGCAAGCATATCAGTCTTCCAGGCCAAACACTGCTTAAACAAGAAAAATAATGGCGTGCAAATAGTTTACAGAATATGCCAAGCACACAATTGCGACATCACTATCTACACGTGTCTTATACTAATGGAGCGAGGGTCCCTACTGTGAGCTCTGATGGCAGGGCCCTGGGCAAGGACAGATGGATGGGGGTGGAGCCCCCGCTACACTGGACAGTGGCAGGAGCCGGTGCTGGCCACTGACAGACAGGAAAAGCTGGGGAGTGCATACAGCTGCCGGTGGCCCAGATAGTGGCCCTGAGCCATAGGTTAGTGTCCCCCAGCCTTTAAAGCAAAGAAGGACAGATTCCTGACTAGAGTCTCTTTGGCTCCCATCCAGAGAAGGAACCGTTTGATTCCAATGAGAAAGACCACATCCTGGAAAGTATTCTCAGATGTCAGCTAAAGGTGCTCAAGGCCAGTCAGGATCGAAACTTCCCATTCCACCCAGCAGTGGATTTTGGCCTGAGCTGCCCCTAGCCTGAGCCTCACTGGCAGGACCACACAGCCTCCCCTCATGGGGATGAGGCCTTGGACATCGATCTCATGAAGGCTCTGGTTTTTGGGCCACACATGCCAGTGCTCAGAGCTTACTCCTGGCTCTGCGCTCAGGAATCACTCTGGGAGGAGTTTGTGGGATCAGATGGGGTGCCAAGGATCAAGTCCAGGATGGCTGTGTGCACGACAAGTGCTCTGCCCACTTATCTCTCCAGCCCTCATGAAGCAGCTTGAATGTGATGAGGCTGACACTCAGCCTGAGCTCTTCTCGTGAAGCAAGCCCCTGGGATCTGGCCCTCACCAGATGCAACCTGCGCAGAGAAACCAACACAGTGCACAGTCAGGACTGGGCACCTCTGCTCAGGGCTGGGACAGCCTCAGGGGGTCCTTCCGGCCGGGACAGCTGCAGTGGGTTGCTCACAGCCTTCAGGGATGCTCACGGCTGGGAAACCCTCAGTGGGTGCCAGTGGGTGCTCACAGCCCTCGGGGGTGCTCATGGCCAGGACAGCCTCAGTGGGTGCTCAAAGCCTTTGGGGGTGCTCACGGTCGGGACAGTCTCAGTGGGTGCTTGCTCCACAACCATGTACTCAGCTGCAACTTGGAATGTTTCCTTGTTTCTCTATAAAAGGGTTTTGGCATTTTCAGCAATACAACTGTGACAATATAGGGATACATCTCTAGATAACACAGAACAGATTCTTCAATTTATTATGTGCAATAAAGCTGATTATTTAACCCTAAACCAAGCCCAAGAGTCCAGGATTTCCTTGGCTGCCATACACAAATGTGTCCAACTGGTACAACAGAAGTTTTCAAGAACATGATCTTTCTGTTAAATGCAGACCACACTGGTAGATATAAGGGCAATTTTAAGTTCAGAAAATAACCCCACAAAGGGCATTGTAAATAAGTGCTTCCTTAACCACTATCTCCACATAATCGATAAAATAGAATTTCCAGTCCTCAAATATAGGTAAGTACTAGTTAAAAGCATATAGAATTTAGAAACATTAAAAAGAAAAATCAAAGCGTGGATTCCATTCCAAGGAACTTAAAGATGTTCTTCTCCCACAACTAAGTCCTCACTGATCTGTGGAGCAAACTCTTCCGGTCCTCTGCTCCTGCTGATGGCAGGCTGGGAACCGTGGGGTCCCCAGGGGCACAGCACCCTGAACTGTATGCTAAGGTTAGCAGGTTCAGTACATTCTTTGTGGTTTTATATAATTGCTTTGCAATTGATAAAATTGCTTTCTTTTAAAGGAATAGATCAAAATTCCTTTAGAAAAAAAAGCAAGACTTTTTTTTTTGAAAAAAAGGGATACACAGCTATAATTCTTAAATAGGCTATTAAATGAACATATGTTGAGTCTGAATGCAGGGTATTTCATCTTGCACTCCTAACATAGGAAAATGTCATCAAACATTAAATTAGAGATAAGAGAAAAGTCCAATGTCCTTAAGAAACTTAAGGAGCTTTCACAATCCCTAAGTCAATCTTCCCGTCTAAGAACCTTGACTATGAAGAGGCAGGAATAGAAAGAATCTTGATAAAATAAATACAGTAAAAACAAAACCACACCCCCCTTGGTATATAGAATACTTGATCATGTTTTTCCTTTTTGAGATCACAATGAAAATGACCTGCAGCCTCTGGCTGTTTCCCACTGCAGCCATGAATGAGAGCATCGTCCACGGCCACGAAGTTTCCCACTTCAGCCACGAGGCACCGTCCACGGCCGCGTGGGGGCCGCAGGGCTGGGTCCTTCCTCCCGGGTCTGCCCGGGTCTCTAGTGCAGGGAGGACTGCGAGTCTGTCTGAATGCCAATGAGTGACGGTGGCTGCTGGCCCCCAGCCGTGGACAGCACAGGCCTGGGGTTGAGACGGGGCGGCAAGGAGTTAGCAGGGCGGATGAGCGGGGGCGGTGGCTGGTTGAGGCTGGGCCGGGGCTGCACGAAGCGGGCCTGCTGCTGCAGCGGGGGCGGCTGGCGGTGGAGCGCCGGGGCCGTGGGCAGGCTGGGCCGGAGCAGCGGCGGAGGCTGGTTCAGCGTGGCCACGGGGGCTGAGGGTGTTGGAGTGGACGCTGGGGCAGGAGGTGATGGACCCAGAGTCCGAGGCGCCTAGAGGGGAGGAAGCCAGAAGACAGCATGAGGCGCTGGCGCTGAGGGGCCACTGCCTACTACGGCCTGAGCTGTCACAGGGAAAACAGAACCGAACAAAAACCTACCACCAGTGTTTCTGGAAGCTCAAGCTTCTCTTTATTTTAAAGGAAACCAAACGAAAACAAAAACCAACCCGAAAAGCCACGTAGCTACCGGACAGGCATCTTTATTAGCAAACAGCGTTAACACTGGACTAGGGCCGCAAGGGGCAGTGGACGCCCCCTCTCCAGCTGTGCCTCGGCTCAAGCTCAGGCCAAACCCACACACCAACACACCTCCTCTTCTTCATCAGCGCTCTTCCCTGGCGGCTCATGACAAGCACCTCTGGTCTCCTCCCCTAAAGCAGAAGCATCACCATTAGAAGCCTGGGTTCCTCGCTCTGCTTCCCACTCCTGCAAGACCTCGTCTAAGTTAAACCGACGCCTGTAGTTTACAAAGAAGTTCTTCACTTGGCCAACAGTCTTGTTGCCAATTACATCTGCAATAGCTTGAAAATCTTTACCGTATTTGCGGACACCTGGAAGGCAAAGTAAATAATACACCCGTGAAGGATCAGCAGCAGAGCGGAGGGACGACACAGCATGCAGACACACGAGACCCCAGCACGCAGGCGCAGGCTCGCAGGGAGAGCAGCCTGTGGGACCACACAGGCAGAACCTCGCGGTGTGGCGGCTCAGGTGCTCTGCCCAGGCTCCTCGCACTGCTCCCGGGCCTCTCCTCAGGGCTCCACACAGCCCAGCCGAGGGCAGCGTTGGGCCCTCCCCTCGTCCATTTCTCTAGTACCCACGGGGCAGTACGAAGCGCCAGGCGTGCGAACAGGTTGTGTGTGGGGTTCTCTCTAGGAAGCTGCTGCCTGAAACGGGCAGGTGGTCTTGGGCATCCCGAAGTGGGGACACACACTAGTTCTGGTTCCAAGGCCACACGGCATGGTTTTGCGCTCTCCCAGGAGGGGGTCAGGAGCTGAAGCATGACTGGCCCATCATCAGAGGGGGGTCTCAGAGCCGCTGGTCAGTGCGCCCTACAGCTGTACAGACTCTGGGGGCCTGCAGGGTCTGGGGCGGCCCAAAACAGTCACCAGCAAGCTTCATCTGAGTCACTTTTCACTGGGGGAATGTGGTAACCATGAGAGTGGTAAAGGGTTTATGAACCTAAGATAATTATGTCACACAACTGCAAGCAACGGAACTTCTGCTTTATGGAATTCGGAAAGTTCCTCGACTCCCATAGAGGGATGTGCTCAGCTGGAATACATCAATCCTCTGCACTTTCCAGCGGTTGAACACTGCCTTAAAAATGCTTGAGGAGAACCCCGTACTGATGGCGGAGATGAGAAGGCGGGCACAGCCCTTCTTTCTGACAGCCAAGTCAGCAGCCAGGCCCAGGGTGCCTACTCAGGGCACCGTGTGGCACACGGTCTGTGGCCTGGAAACAAAGAGGCGGGCTGGCCACTCCCAGCTGGCAGACCTGTGTCCGAACAATGGAGGGTCACTGTGGGGTGTTCTGGGACAGAACACCCATGGTTTGGAGAGTCTGAGACTCTGAATGCTGTTGGGTGAGCCATTCTCGAAGGGGAGGACATGCGGGGCGAGGGGGAGTGGGGCTCGAGGCCAGCCGGTCTGTTAGCCACAGACACTCTCTAGAGCACCTCCTCATAGGGTGGCAGCGGGGGTGGGGGGGTGGGGGGCATCCCAGTAGTGCTCAGGGCTTAGTCCTGGCTCTGCACTCAGGATTACTCTGGTCGGTTTGAAGGACCAACTGGAGTCCTGGGGACTGAACCTGCGTTGAGCATGTGGATGGAGAGTGCCCTCACGCTGGCCCCGAGACTTCATAATTGCAAACTCTCATGGCGATCAGCTCCACCGGGAGCCTGCCCAGCGATGGAAATCCAAGCTCCTTCTCAGAGGGCCCTTGGCTTTGCCCTGACCCCCGAGACTGTACCCAACCCTCTGTGGGAGCCCAGCATCACTCAGCTGGAACTTGCGGTCAGTCCAGCACGTGTATCTTCATGAAGGATCTGGATGCACCTTCTAGAAAGGAGCAGAGCCCGAGGACATGGCTTGGGGGGAAGCCCTCTAGCCAACCTGGCTGACTCTGCAGGGCCCAGGAACTGGTGGAGCACATCTGTGCCAGAGAAGCCACTGGGATTTTCCCCAGCACCAGAAACAAAACCCAAGTGGAACTACCCAGGTCTGACCCAAGTCTGAGGAGGTCCCCCAGAACATTCATTCACTTGCCAAAACAAACTCTGCAACCTCAACACCTACTTACGAGCGGTTCCTGCATCCGCTTGTTATGCAGCTATCCCTTTCCCTTCTGTTTTGAGGATTTTCAACTTTGTTTTCTCTTTCTCAGTGGGATGCCTTATCAGTAATAAGGCTGCCCCAAACCTCCGAAAGCACCTTTAATTCTGCCCTGAAGGGATGGAGACTTTCCTAGGACTGAGATTCTGGGCCACTGTGGTCTATCTGGCAAAGTCCCACTGATGCCAGCTCGGACCAACTACTCTGCAGGCCAGATGGTAAGTACCGCAGGTTGGCCTGGCTGAGGCGTGGCTGTGTGCTGAAGACAGGGGACCAGGGCAGGGCCTGTGACCGGCACAGTCTCAGGCAGGCCTCTCGGAACCACAGCCTCACGTGTTGGTCACGTATCATCTCTCCCATTTGCCCTGACTTCACTGACTCATCTCTGGGTCTCCGGGCCACACCCAGCTGTGTCTGTGGGCAATCCTGCCCTGTGGTCAGGGGCCCAGGTGGGCTGGGATGGAGACAGGTCAGAAGCGTGGATGGGGTGTGTGGTGCCGCGGCAGGTTGAGAGCAGGAACAGGGCTGTGCTGTCCTCCCCGAGGCTTTACTCGGTCCTGCCCACAGGTGGGGCTACCTTCATCATGGCCTTCAAACCAGGCAACACGCAGCAGGGGCTGGTTAGGAGGTGGGCACTGCAGTTCTGTGGCATGGTGGCCACCAGACTGAAGACTGAACGGACTGACCAGCGCTCTGTATGGGTGCCACTCGATGCCCTGAGATCAGCGCTAGCTCTCCCGTCCCATGTGTCAGGGCAAGGGCTCCACTCTTCTCATAGACGATGAGTCAGACTCAGAAAGGGGGAGAGAGAGGTGCAGAGATAAAATCTCTCTCTAGAGATGTCAGAACTCTCACCTTTAGGGTAAGCGGTCTGCTTTCAGAGTTACTGGGATAAAGCATCAGAGAATGCTGAAGAAATCATAGTTTTTTTAGGGAGATGAAAACATTTTCACTCAAATTTCTAAATTTTGCTACTTAACAGCCAAGAACACTTTTTTTTTTTGCTTTTTTTGGGTCACACCTGGCAATGCACAGGGGTTACTCCTGGCTCTGCACTCAGGAATTACGTACCTGGCAGTGCTTGGGGGACCATATGGGATGCTGGGAATCGAACCCAGGTCAGCCACATTTAAGGCAAACGCCCTACGTGCTGTGCTATTGCTCCAGCCCCACACTTTTAAACTTTTGTTCTGGAGTTAACAAAAAATAAGTCCAGGCTCTGGTGCTAAAGCTCATGTCATAGTGCTCTCCATTGCAAACAAGGGCTTTTTTTTTGGGGGGGGGGGGGACGGTGACACCTGGCACTGCACAGGGGTTACTCCTGGCTCTGCACTCAGAAATCACTCCTGGTGGTGCTCAGGGAGATGATCTGGGATGCTGGGGATCAAACCTGGGTCAGCCGTGTGCAAGGCAAACGCCCTACCCGCTGTGCTATAGTTCCAGCCCCAAACAAGGGCTTTTTAAGCTTTGGCTGATAAGCCAGTAACTTCCGAGGTATTTGGGACATGACATTTCCAAACCATGAACATATAACTGTACTTGTTTCCTTAGGAGGGATATTCTGAATCTGCTATTGGTGAATGTTTTATTTTATTTTATTTTTGTGCCACACCCAGCTGATGACTAGGGCTATATGGGGTGCCAGGGACGGAACCTGGTTGGCTGTGTGCAAAGCAAATGCCTTACCCGCTGTACTATTTCTCTAGCCCCAATAAACACTGTAGCACTGTAGCACTGTCATCCTGTTGTTCATCGATTTGCTCGAGTGGGTACCAGTAACGTCTCACAACAAATTGTGAGACTTGTTGTTACTGTTTTTGGCATATTGAATACATCACAGGGAGCTTGCCAGGCTTTGCTGTGCGGGCGAGATACTCTCGGTAGCTTGTCGGGCTCTCCAAGAGGGGCAGAGGAATCAAACCCAGGTTGGCTTCGTGCAAGGCAAATGCCCTACCCGCTGTGCTATTGCTTCAGCCCCAATAAACACTATTTTCTAAAATATCATTTTGGACTAAATGCAACAAGCAATCAGCCTCTAGGAGGTGCAACTAGGGCATCAACTTCTTACAATCACACAATCGGTTGCACTGAGAGCCCAACTAGCAGGACTGGACAGTGCTCACTGCTGAGAGCCGTCTCTGACACAGCAGGAGCACAGAGCTGTGGGGCCTTCGATCGTCACCGGGAATGTGAACTTCTTGCCAGAGGTCACACTAAAGAAGGCAAAGACCCGAGCAGAGGGTCAGTGGTGGGTCCATGGTGGCCAGGCAGGGGTCCTGCCCTTCTCCCTGCAGCGTGGATGGACCCACACGGGGCGTGGGGAGCAGCAGTGATCTAAGCAAGCACATCAGAGGCTCCGCGGGCAGAGGCCGCCCCGAGCAGGGCACACACTACAGCCACGGCGCTTCTGGACAGAGGCACCTCTCCGCACTGCCTCTCCACCTTCACGCAGCAGCAGACAGTTGGCACGCCTTGGCCTCAAGCAGCTCCCAGATCTCTCCTACTTCCAGAATTGTTCTAGCTTTGGGCTGGGGCGACAGGACAGTGGTCCCCGTTTGACTTGCATGTAGCTAACCCTGGTTCAAACTCCAGCATCCCATGCCTCAGCACTGCCAAAGAGTAATTCCTGAGCACACAAGCACAGAGCCAGGAGTAACCCCTGAGCATCACCAGGTGTGCCCACCGCCCACCCCCTACCCCCCGACAAGAACTGTCTTTTTTTAAAAAAACAATCTAGAATCAAGAAGACAATTTCTAGGTTTGCTACTTGATTTCTCCTATAAAGGATGAACAGATGAATTGCAGGAGAGGCAGTAACAGCAGAAGGAAATGAACCACATTAAGTCCTCTCCGGTCCTTCAGACACACCCGGACTCTGCCTCACTTAAATGTCTCACTAGCTCAACATCTGTAAGCTAGCAAGTGTTCAATCTTACATGAAAAATATACTTAGGAATTAGGATCTAATTCTTTTCCTCATTTTTGCTATATGTTTATCACATACGTATCAAAATAATTTAAAAATATTTCATAAAAGTACCTATATACGTACATATGTATACATATATATATATGGCACAAGCTACAAACTATATCTTAACATTAGTGCAAGTCTGTGAAGAGTATAATTGGTCTTGTAATCAACTAATTTGCTCTAATAAAAAATCTAGGTTCTAAAGGGTGAAAACAGGTGGTAAGACGCAAATACCACTCTTGGAAGTTTTTTCACCCACACCCAGCAAGGCTCAGGGGTGACATCCAGCTCTGCAGAAAGAAATTACTCTTGGCTGGACTTGGGGAACATACTGGATGCTGGGGATTGAATGCAAGTTGGCCATGTGCAAGGTAAGTGTCCCACCCATTCACTAACTCTCTGACCCTTGGTGAATATTTTAAGAGGATTAAACTAGTTGTATCCATGGTTACTGAACTCTGAACTAAAATAAACCCAATAAATGGGCTGGCTATGTGAGAATAAAATGATCCTTGTGTGTTCTGAGCAGGCAAGCCCCTTCTAATCCAGGGGGAAAAGAAGAGAAAATGTACTAGCTAGTCAGTACTTGGTAGACAATACAGGAGAATGGAAAGCACAGTCAGAAACCTTTGTTTCAGCTCCAAGATGGTTCTGAGGGGTGGGGCTGAGCTACACCTGGTGCTCAGGTGCACTCGGATCACTCCTGGGAGGCTCATCTGGGGTTTAGGGGATCAAAGCTGGGTCAGTGTGTTCAAGGCAGGCACCCCACATGCAATACTATCTCTCTGGCCCAAAATGCTAAGATGATTTTTAATATATCTCTATTTTTCCTTTGCTCCAGCCCCTATATCTCTGTTTTAAAAGAACAAGAACAAAAAGGTTGTGCAATGGCAGAGTGCAAAGCCCCTCCTGCGATGTCAGAGTTCATTCTCAAGGCCACTGCCACAGGGCCGTGGAGGGGGGGCTTAACAAGATCCTAAGAAACATTTAACAAGTGTAAACTGATCAGAATATCTACGTAAAATAGCCCCAATATAACACTATAGTAATCGAAACATGTTAATATCAAAGTATACATGATTATTATTTTGCAAACTGAAGCCACCATGAGGTTAACACCCATTAAGGTTTCTCGAAAGACTGAAAAGAATACAAAAGAGGACACAGACTGTTTCTGGTTCAAACAAAAATGTTTGTGAACCTTGGTCACAGCAGCTGGCCCAGGGGGCACCTTTCAATTCTCTCAAAAACAACTATTTGGGACACAAATGGTTTATGTAAAAAAGACAAAACATAACAAAGCAAAAGAGCCTCCAAAACAAGAAGTCCTTAAAAAACAGAGTGAAACAAAATTCCAGAGTCACATTCAAGAAATAAAAAGAGACTCCAGCAGACAAGGAAGGTGCCCAAGAACTGAGGCCACGCCCACCTCAGGTCTGGCATCCCTGGGACCCGTCTCCAGGGGGCGCCAGTCCCCAAACAGCAGGCCAGCACAGACATGGCACAAGTGACCCAAGTGGCCACACGGCAGCTCACGCAGGGTGTCAGTCTGGCCGCTGCAGTGAGGGCTGGGGCTGGGTGTCTGCCCTGTATGTCCCCAAGTAGGGGTGGAAGTAAGTCCCAGGTGCAAGAAACGGGCCCACTCCCAGTGCCTGGTCATGCTGCCTGGGCATCACGGGCATGACGGGCCAGCCTCGCTGGCCTCTTCCTGTGCTGAGCATAGTGGAACCATCCCTCGTTCTGGCTGACTGTCCAGGGCTTGGCAGCTCTCTGGAGGTCACCAGAATAGTTGACCTCACAGGGCACTATCTGCAGACACCAGGCCGTCACTGGCTGGCCCCTCCGCCCCTAGCCCACAACACTGGCCCATCATTCCACTTTTGATGTCTCACCTCCGGAGGGGACCTGTGTGCTGGCCTCGGGTCTGACTCCTGTTTCTGAAGGAGCTTCTGTCCTGCCTCATGGCTGACCTAGGCAGAAGCCCTATGAGCATTGTCCTAGAGAAAGAGGGGCCACCCAGCTCAGAACAACCAGCCCTGCAGCAGGTCATCCTGAAGGGAGAAGAGTCCTGGCAGTGGAATCTGTCCTCGGCACAAGCAAATCTGAGTTTGTGATGCTTTTGAGTCACTCCAAGCCTGCTTGGTTCGGGACTGGGCCTCCTCCACTCAGCCCCCCCACCTTCCAGTAGCTAGACAGTTACACCCACCAACTGCTGTGTAACCCCATCAATGGCCAGGATCCAGAGACTCTAAAACCAAGCTCCCGGAAGAACCTCTTATTCTCTAGTTCTCACTCTCAGAGAACCTGGCAGGCTACTGAGAGTATCCTGCCCGCATATATGCCTGACTGGGAACACCTGTAAAGGTGATTAGAGGCTGCCCCAAAAGCTTCCATCCCTCTTGGAGAGCCCGGCAAGCTACCGAGAGGATCCCGCCCGCACGGCAGAGCCTGACAAGCTAACCGTGGCGTACTCGATTATGTCAAGAACAGTAACAATGAATGGTCCTCATTCCTCTGATCCTAAAGGAACCCCCAATATGTCATCGGGCTATACTAGCACGTGACAGGGACGAATGGAGACGTTACTGGGCCTGCTCGAGTGAATCAATGAACAACGGGTGATAGTGATAGTGACAGTGACTGAGTCACTCACGGGGGCTCAGAGTAATGAAGTGCTCTCTATGATTCCAGAAGCATTCCCGTAAGAAGTACACTGGAGAAGCTATATGCATAGATTTTTGATTAATTAATTTTGGCACACACATCTAAAATTTTTGAATTAGGTTTCTTTTTTCTTTTGTGGTGCTGGGGATGAGACCCCAGCCCTATGCATGCAAGGCTCGTTGTCTGTCACTGAGCAGCATCCCTGGCCCCCGCAGGTGCTCAGTGACCAATCTGGTTTATCAGCATGGAAACACAGGGGAGCAGGTCAGCAGTGCTCCAGAGAACCTGGAGCACAGACTCACTCTCTGATGCCACTGGCTGGCGACATCCAGCAGACAGCAAGAATGTCCCTAAGGCAGAGACAAGCCGGCCCTCACCTGCTGAGTCTGAGTGTGGCCATGCTCAGAGCCAAGTACACACAGTCCCGAGGGATTCCGGGCCTGGGTCTTCGGGAGGGATGGCACAGAGGCGGCGGCCGCCTCTCATGACAGGGTCAATCAAAAACAAGTACCGCTCATCTCGAATATACCTTGCACTGCTAGAAGCTGCTCCTCGGTGGTCCAACGGGCATTAATTTTCTGATTCGACTACAAGATTAAAGAGAAGTTTCCTGATGAGGACATGGAAACACACATTTCCAAAGTGCTTATTTTCTTAACACTTTGACTAATCATTGACACGATATTATTCAAACCCTGATTCATGACCCCATTCTGATCAGGACTTAAACATAAATTATGAATTCTCTTTTACCCATACAAAGATGGGAAATGTACAAGCTTGGGAAACAACACATACATACTCTAGAAAAAGACCCTAGAGAAAGCCGGTTTTTAGCCATGTGCCCATCACAAATCCCCATGCAAAGCTGACTGCAGCCTAGTTCCCAGCACTCAGGAGAGCGTGTACAAGCCACTCCAAGATCTTCTCTTCATGGTGGTAGTGATCCTCTCCTTATCCCCCACAAATGATGCTGGAATAGTTAACACAGAACTGGAGACCGGGCCCCAGTCCTAAAATACTTCTGAAGCTGATTCCCACAATAGGAACATGATTCCCCCCAAACTCTGCCAAGGTACCTTCCATGTTCCTCCCAGAAGTTTTACTGGGACCTGGGTGAGGACTCTGACGATGGCAGTATGATGCCAGGAGCCCCCAGTGTCACCCGCCTCCCTGTGCCGAGTAAACCAGAATCCCGTGCACAGGCTGCTCACAGGGCTTTACAGAAGGGAGCACCCAGAACAAGAGGCCAGAAGAGACGCAAAAACCCTCCCTGAGGCTTGGTCTCTGCAACACCTTCAAGCTCATGCTGGGCCAGGAGGTCTAAGTGTTCAGAGAAGACAGTGCTGAGGTTAAGGCACTCTCCTTGCACGACGCCCATGCTGGTTCAATCCTGGCCCCCCCCCCCGCCCCCCCGATACGGTACCCTGAGCACCAGCCGGGGTCCCATTAGACCACAGAGCCAGAAGTAAGCAAGGTGTGGCTCAAACCCCACCCCCCAAAAAGAGAGGGAAAGGAATAACATGCACAGTGAAGACATTTCCACACAGGCAAAACAGAATGTGTTACGAACATAAGTGATGATTATAACAAGGCAGAGGACCCCGGGGGTCGAGGAAACGAGGAGTGGGATGGGGCGCGAGGCAGCTGGAGTTGGGCAGGGTTGTGGCTTAGAAGGTGCTGGCAGGACCCACACCATATGTGGGGCAGAAGTGAGGGTTGGCTGGGGAGGTGGGGGAGAAGGGGCTGCACAGGACCGAAAGGCTTCAAGGCTTCTTTGAGAAAGACAGCTACCCCCTGGCAAGGGCGAGGGAAGGCTGTGACCACATTAGACCAGGACCCCAATTCTGAAAGGCCGGAGAGGGGTAATGTTCAGGACATGGGAAACTGACCCAGAGAGAGACTGGGCTTGGCTGTGGGGTCTGGAAGGCAAACAGGACGCTCTGCTGAAGTCAGGTATCACAACGAAGGCTAACACAGGGCCACAGTTTCAAACTCCCTTTTTCCAGTTCTGGAAAGTGTTTATGAGGGAAATGGAGTGTCCCCCCTAACTCTTGGTGTGAGAGATGCCAAGCTGAGATTTTTGTTCTTGTTTTGGGGCCACTTCTGGTGATGTTCAGGGGTTACTCCTGGCTCTGCACTCAGGGATCACTCCTGGTGGTGCTCGGGGGACCGTCTGGGACGTGAGGACAACCTGGGTTGGCTGTGTACAAGGCAAGCACGCTACCCTCCGTGCTACTGCTCCAGCCCCAACAGCCTATGAATTTTTAAGATTCCCCACCCCCACAATGAGTCTTGAATGTTTTACAAAGACAGTTAGGGTGGCCCAACAAGACCCTCCCATGGGAGACGTCTTGTCCTTGCTCCTCAGAGCTCTCCCTGGGCAGGTGTTCAATAAAGGCAGCCCAGGCACGAGCATCCATGACACCTATTTGGCTTTGTACCTATGGTTTGCTCTGTGTCAGTGAACTATACGTAGGAAGCGACTCTATTTCCAAAGAGAAAGATGTGAGCCGTGTGGTCCAGAACCCCGGGGACTGCTCCACGAACACAGAGTGCACATGAGAGCTGCAGAGGGCAGAGTCCGTCAGGCAGAGAACACAGCCTGTGGGAGAGGCAGGCCCAACCAGAGCCGTGGATGCCGTGTCTTGTCACCTACACCAAAGCCACTTGTCTGTCCAAGGCTGCTTGAAACAGACCGACCGCGCACATTCAGGGCCCTGAGTGTAGAGGGAGGCGGTGAGAACCGAGAACCAGCAGAAACAGGGTGAGGGCCCGAAGGACACATGACTCCCCCACAGCTCTGTGGAGTGATAAGTGGAACACAAGCAGAGAGCCAAGGGTGGGAGTTGAGACTAACTGGGGGGCGGGGCCACTTAAGAGATTTTTCTGGATTCCTACCCGCAAATAAAGCAGTGCTCTACAACAGCCTAGTGCAGCGATCTCGACAGCAGAGGCACTTGGGCTCCCGAGGGCTTTCGAGAGCCTCTGGTGACATGCCCAGTTAAGCCTGTCTTTAGGGCACCTTCACTCCCCACTTCCATCAGGAGTAGGTGCCAGTAATCCCTGAGCTGGAAGAAACAGAAAGGCCACCAAGTTCATCTCTCGCTACTGCTGAGCCTCCGTGGCTCCTGTAAGGACAGCACGTGTCCCTGTGTGTGGGAGCCTCCAGGTGGGGAGGTTTCTGTGCAGAGCTGCCCTCCTTGCCACCTCCCGGGCCAGGAGCACCTGGCGGTGCACGTCTCACGCCTTCTGCTCTGCAGGCATCTCTCAGTGGATGCCTCGATCTTTCTCACACCCAATTCTTGCCTGCTTCATGTCGGTCTCTCATGAAGTGCCTAATTCCCCTTGACTAGTGCCGCCAGAATAATTTCCTTAAAATCAAATTGTTATCATCTAGTTCCTATACTGAAGAAAACATGGAAAATTCTGAAAATTTCCAAGTCGTCACAAACAGTGTCCGCTGGCCAGTGCCCCTGACCTCAGGTCCGGTTTGGATGAACCCCACCAGCTCTGCCGGCGCTGCTGTCCACGCTCTCTGCATTCCAGCCTGTATTTGCCTAGACTCTGGCTCTAAGGTCCTGCTCCCAAGGTCTCAGCAGCGGTCAGCATGCTGATCGCACAGGCTGTTGAATGTCTCAGAGGGGAGTCCGTAACTGCCAGAGGGCTCGAACCTTGCCCCACTGGCTTTATATGCACAAAGTGCATCTGGCGCCTATTCTTTGCTCATGCTATACCCTTGGTTTTGGGTTTTGTTTTTTGTTCTGGCTTTTTGGGCCACAACCAGCCAAGCTCAGGGGGTTCCCCCGGTTCTACACTCAGGAATTACTCCTGGCAATGCTTGGGGGACCCCATGGGATGCTGGGGATCGAACCCACGTCAGCCGTATGCAAAGCAAATGCCCTACCCACTGTACTATTTCTCCGGCCCCTGCTATTCCTTTTGTATAGGTGCAAAAACCCGATTCATCCAACTGCGAGTCTTTCTGATTCTTCTGGCCAGAATCAGTGATGACCGTTTTTTTTCCCTGTAGACTTTATAATCTACCATGTCATTTCAATCAGTTTTCTTTGTGTTTCTGGCATTTGGGCTACACTCAGCTTTGCTCAGGAATTACTCCTGGCTCTGAACTCAGGAATGATTCCTGGTGGTGTTCAGGGACCATATGGGATACACGGGATTGAATGGAGTCAGTCGTGCACCAGGCAAAGACTATTCCTGCTCAACTATCTCTCTGGCTCCTCGATCAGTTGGTCTTAGAGTCCATGTAGGTTGGAAGCTCTTTTATAAGAAGATGGAGGACCCCCCTTTCTGCACCATCTTCCCCACAGTCCCACAAAAACTTTCTGTGGAAAGGTCACCGGCAAATACCGAAGAAAGTGGACAAACCTTTTGCCACACTTCACCCTATACAGTAATCAGATGAATGATGAGCTCAAGTCAGTAACTGTTCACTTTCAGTTGAACAACATCATTCTGGGGTCTTGTTCAAAAATTCTTTGACTAGGTGTTAGAGAAATTCTTTGGTTTAGGGATGAACTAACCAAGTAAGGAGGTAGATTATATGACTTTTTAAGGTCTTTAGTATGACTCTTAATCTAGAAGTTTGAAACGTATCAGTTAAGTTGCTCTTCTCTGCAAAGCAGTAGAAATAATATGACAAATACATCCATTTAGATGATATATATCTATTTTTTCTAAGCCATAAAATTCAGTAATTGACCTCAAAGTAATATAAAAATTCCAGTGTCTGGATGATAATGTAAAGATTATGGCCCTTCTTTTTACAATAAATCAACAAATGAATGAAATCAGTAAATGAAACTTCTAACTTAAAAACTGCATTTAAAGTACGAATTTAATAAATACTTTTGCTACTACATGAAAGTTCTCAGCTATAAGAGACATAATGGGCTGTACTAACCGAGGCCTCTCCCAATGGGACCTAAGAATCTCGTGGCCAGAGTTCCACCATGGCCAGTTGCCCCGAAGCCCAGTCTCTTTGTGATGATGTACTTACTTACTTTACTAAACTGTCACTTTACCTGGGCTTTAGAATGAGTTATTAGTTGTGTACATACAGTCCATTCTTTTTGTTATCTGACCTTCATAAGAGATGTTTGAAACAAGCCAATCAAAACAACTTTCTCCATAGTTTGTTGTTTCTTCCTTTGAAGGACCCTTGTGAGTCAGCTGGCATCTGGGCACCGGTCCCTCCCACAGAATATTTTATGTGGAGACACTTATGTCCTGGGCATCCCAGCAGGACCAAAGAAATGATGAATTACTGGGACAGGACATGAAGCAGGACCATAGGAGTCTTTAAACAATGGAAGAGAAAGGAGGAGGCGTCCGTGAGAGAAGCTTTGAGTAAAAGACTCAATGGACCTTTACAGGTATCTGACCACTACTGTGATCATCACAGTCACCAAAGGCACTGGGTGCAAGCTGGAAGTGACAAGGAGACAATGACCGATTTGTATCTGGAATCAGATTTCTGGGATGTACAAGAACAATTAAAAGAATGTGTGCCACGCAAAACTCTCCACGGAAAATCTGAACGAGGGACATGGGTGACCCGAGAATAAAGGTGGGAGGGGGGCCGGGTCCTTCACGTACACACACTCACTTCCGTCACATGGGATGCTGCTTCTCACTAGCTCTGCTTGACCTGAAGGGCTCCGGAAAGAAAAAGAAATGGGGCAACGGACAGTCAGTCACTAGCCGTGAGAGTGAGCCAGAGACCAATCATCAGTCTGACAAAACAGTGGCACAGTGTGCTATCATGCCCAATACCTTCCGAGGATCAACTAGAACAGCAGGCGACTCAAAGCATCATCAACCCAAAGCCTGTGGCTCCAGCTTAACAGCAGGCATGCTTTCAACATACCTCAGGGGGTTTGAATTCTTCAATCCCACCTTCCATTCTCTGCTTAAGTGCGCTGTTGACTTGCTTAGCATTCTGAACCTTCAACAAAAGAACCACAACAAGAGTAAGATTATGTCCTTTGGCAAGTTTCTAAAGTACTCAATAAACTTAAAGGGGAGATATCAACCTTCTTCAATTTTATTTTAGGGGAGGGCAATAATTACCCTCCTCAGGGTATACTATCCCACTCAACCGACAGACCAGAGACAGCCAGAAAACTGCAGCATTTCAGAGTTAAATTCCCACAATCCAAACATTACTATGTTGTGGCTGGAGCGATAGCACAGCAGGTAGGGTGTTTGCCTTGCACGCGGCCAACCCAGGTTCAATTCCCAGCATCCCATACGGTCCTCCAAGCACTGTCAGGAGTAATTCCTGAGTGCAAAACTTTTTTTTTTTTTGCTTTTTTTTGGGGGGGGGGGGTCACATCCTGCGATGCTCAGGGGTTATTCCTGGCTCTGCACTAGGAGTCACTCTGGGCTGTGCTCAGAGGACCGTATGGGATGCTGGGAATCGAACCCGGGTCGGCCGCATGCAAAGCAAATGCCCTACCCGCTGTACTATTGCTCCAGCCCCTGAGTGCAAAACTAGGAGTAACCCCTGAGCATCGCCAGGTGTGACCCAAAAAGCAAAAACAAACAAACATTACCATGTTTTGAACAAAGAATCCTGACTTTAATAGGAATAATAATGATCAGGATGGAATATGTCCAGTACAAACCCTCATTCTTTATGTTTCATTTGTAAAAAGTATCTATTTTTTACAAGTAATCTATGCTGTGTCTGCCCCGACTACTGTGGCTCCTGCCACAAACCTCTCCAAGTTCGATGTCCTGTGCAAAATCACACAAGAAAATAACCACACAAGAACACCACAGGGCTGACACATGGGAGCCTTGTGGACAGCAGGTATGAGCCGGGAGTGTGGGGGCGACTAAAACCTCATGGGAAGGGGGGCGTTTCGGTCCGCCCTTCACGCCCTACCGAGGCCACCAGTTGCCCCCACGAGCGGCTCTCCAGCACGGCCACAGCCCCAGAAGCACAATGACCTAATGCAGAACCCAGCAGCTTGGAGCAGAAAAGTGAAAGGACTATGCGTTAATCCAGGCAATCATTTCTGCCCAGAGGGGAAAGGGTGTTGCTCCCTTCCGCCCTCCTCCCTCTGGAAAGAAAGATGGCGGCCACATGGGAGCCTTGTGGACAGCAGGTATGAGCCGGGGGTGTGGGGGCGACTAAAACCTCATGGGAAGGGGGGCGTTCTGGTCCGTCCTTCACGCCCTACCGAGGTCACCAGTTGCCCCCCGCGAGCGGCTCTCCAGCACGGCCACGGCCCCAGAAGCACAAGGACTTAAGGCAGAACCCAGCAGCTTGGAGCAGAAAAGTGAACGGACTCTGCATTGATCCAGGCCATCAAGTCTGCCGGAGGGGAAAGGGTGTTGCCCCATTCGCCCTCTCCTCTTTGGAAAGAAAGATGGCGGCCACATGGGAACCTTGTGGACAGCAGGTATGAGCCGGGAGTGTGGGGGCGACTAAAACCTCATGGGAAGGGGGGCGTTTCGGTCCGCCCTTCACGCCCTACCGAGGCCACCGGTTGCCCCCCGCGAGCGGCTCTCCAGCACGGCCAGGACTCCAGAACACAGAAACCAATTTCTTAACTATCTGACTTTCAGTAGAAATACTTCCAGGGTCAATAGGTAAAAGAGCAGAAATCCAAAACCAACATTTAATTCTTGAACCCAGCCGTAGAAAGCAAATCACTTCACAATGCTTTTTCAGCATGTCTGATTTGGGGGGGGGGTAAACTCTAAATAATAGTGGTGAATCTTTTATTGAAACAATGAATCTAATCAAAGCAGATAGAGTGTTAACTAGAATTCATCTGCTTCACAGGGACGGGGAGGGGTGGGGGGTGGGGTTTTATTGGGGTTCTTCATGGTAAAAAATAAGTATTGGTAAAGGGAAATGTGTTTGATATTTGCATGACTGAGACATAAACCTGAAAGCTTTGTAACCTTTCCCACAGTGATTCAATAAATAAAAAAAAAAAAAAAAAAATTAAAAAAAAAAAAAAAAAAAAAAAAAAAAAGAACACCACAGGGCTGAGAGGGGGGAGGGCGGGGTTTTAAAGAAGACAACAATATGTCTCCTGGAGCCAGGAAGAAGTGCAAAAACAGGTGGGCCGCAAAGATAGTTGCTGGGAGACAAGCCCCTGACCTAGGGAAGGTGGGGTGACCCAGGAGCACCCGAGGTGGCCCACACCTCACTTGGGTTACCACCAGGGCTGGTATATGTTGGGGAGTAACGAAGCTCAGAGACCAATCATCGATGATCCTGATGTTTGCCGATTGGGGAGAGAGTGCAGTCTGGGGCAGACAAGCTCTGTCAGGACACAGGGCACAGCCCAAGGCACCCTGTCCAGGAGGAGAGGAGCCAAGGCCAGAGACCTGCTGGCAATGCTCCATGCAGGGGCTGTGTGTTTCTACGTTTCTGGTTTTGGTCTATGGGCCACCACGGGGGTGTCCAGGGCTTACTCCTGACTCTGCATTCAGGGATCCCTCCTGGCAGGCTCGAGGGACCCTTTGGGGTGCCGGGGATAGAACTTGGGCCGGCTCCCATCTGTGCTACCACTGCAGGCTGTGTCAGGTGCCGCAGGAGGAATTACCAGCCTGCAGCCTATTGAATGTCCCTGCCCCAAACACACCTGCATCCTTATCCCTCCTTCAAGCCCAGGGAACTGAGCGAGCAGTGCCTGGGGCTGCTCAAGGTCTACTGCACTCCAGACCCTGGCGATGTGTGCGTCGGTGCTGGAGCACTGACAAAGCTGAACTCTACCCGCTATGCCCACACACCCCTGCCCCCTCCTCTCCAGGGACCCCAGTAGCCTGCAGGAACGGGAGCCCCGGTATTGGAGGTTTCAGAGAGAAAACGGGAGTATGCAGAGATGCCAACACTGCCCACAACCACCAGCACCCAGGGTGCACTGGGAGGCCCAGTTCAGCAGTCTCCTCGTTTGGAAACCAGGCAGACTTTCAAGCCACCATTAACAAGAGAGGCTGAGAAAATGTGTGCAACAGACGTGGTCCCACAAGCAAGACAGAAACGTGCTTCTGGTGGGTACCTGGCGCTTCAGTGAGATCAGTTCCATGTCCAGCTGCCGTAGGATGGTGCTGGCAGCATTGGGGCTGCAAGACACAGCGGCCACGTCTTCCCGGGTCAGGTACATGCCCTTGGGCGGCCGGCACTTGGCACGCTGGGAGTGGTGGCGGTGCTGCAGGCTCTGGTACTCCCTGCGCCCAAGGCCCCCCTTGCTGGTCTGCACAGGCTGCTCGGTGCTGCCCTGGACACAGACAGGAGGACAGGTCAGCTGTCCCATCGGAACGGACACACTGCCATAGTAGTACTTCTTGTGCCAACACACCGCAAACACCTTGACACGCATGCGCACACACACATTCGTGTACACACATACTCGCTTATTTACACATGCACTCACACACATAAACAACTGCACATGCACAAACGTGCATACACACTCACGCACCAGCCGGGGAACCTTCAAAATAAAACCATAACAAAGCCCAGTCTCTACACCCAGAAAACCAGAAATTTAAAAAGTTGAACCCAAAACTTTACCTGTTTTCCTCAAGACAGGATAAATTCTCTCTCAGTAATAAAAAGGGGAAAAGGCTGTAAAGTTAAAAATGTTCCCTTCTTCCCCTTTTGCTTATGTGATGATGGGCAGAGATGGGTGCAGGCAGGGAGGCCCTCCTCAGGGCCCGGGCACTCAGCCAGCAGGGTCGGTCTTTGGCCACTGTGTCCCAAGCTCAGAGCAGCTGGAAGGGGCAGAGTGGGGACAGGTGGGTGGAAGAGATCCAGCCCTTCATTGTCTGGCCACTGTGTGGGAGAAGCAGATCTCTCAAGACTAAGGACAAAAACTCATCTTAATCCCGAGGAAATGCTACGACTCCAAGTCATTTCAGTGAATGAAACAAAATGTGACTTTGTGGTCCAGAGAGGCTGGAAAAATTCAACGAAGGCTGACTGTGATTTTTCATCTGCAACTTAATTCTGCCTGCAATACCCTTAAAGTGGGACACTCAGATGCCACAGCAGCCGTGCTTCTGAGACTGGCATGCTCTGGGAACTGACCATAAGGAGGCAGGCCATTTCACTAAGCAAACTTAAAAACTAACATGAGTTCTGTAACTGCTTCTTACATGGATTAAGGAGAATACACATGTGAGTTCTTAGGTACAAGGCCCTGAAAGTGGCTGTTCATCTGAGCTGGTGGGTTCTGTGACTGAAGTAACGCCCTTGATGCTGGCCTATTTGCCAGCCTGGCTTCCACTGCTGCTCGAGTATCAGTCACTGAGAATTGTCTTTTTCTTTGAAGCTCATGTTACTAGGGGATAGAAATCTAGGATTTTTAAATATTTTTTTTTTGTAGGAGTACTGCTATTTATTCAGCCACTGATTACCTGATTGAATTGTGCATGAACTCCACCTTACTTTTTTTTTTTCATTTTTTATAATTTTATTTATTGAATCACCGTGAGAGCAGTTACAAAGCTTTTGGGTCTAAGTCTCGGTCATACAATGAAACGCCCGTACCTTCACCAGTGCCCATTCTCCACCACCAAAAACCCTAGTATACCCCCATCCCGCACCCTCCCCCAACCTGTGGGGAAGATGATTTCCACATTACTCTCTCTCTACTTTGATCACATTCAATATTTCGACACCAGACTCATCATTATTATTTGAGATTTTACCCCAACACTCAGATATGCTGAAAAGGCAACAATAGACAATTTGTGTTCTATTGCTGGTTATGAATAACATATGATGTTGCGTGGCTGCAATAGGGCCATGTGATTTTGAAATTCCGAAATTTTAACACTTAAATCTGGAGTGATTTTTGCCAAAAGCCACTGGGTTTCGAGATTTGCTCCTGAGTCTCTGGGATCACGGCTGTTGAGCTGCTTGATCAGGAGCCTGAGAGGCCGTTCGTGGGCGATGACTTGGGGTCTCGTTGGGGAGGGGAGGACAGGCCTGGCTCCCCCACGCATCCCATGAGGCCCAGCAAGTTTCGTCATTGCGGGCCCAAGCCTGACTGTCCAATGGCTTCTGGAGGATGATGGCCATCGAGCCGCCAAGAGGGAGCAGGTGGAGGGACAACACCCTTTCCTCCCTGGGGTGGCCCGGCGACAGTAACGTACTGTGGGGTCCAGACGCATTTCTGCCAAAAGCCACTGAGTTTTGAGATTTGTTTCTGAGTCTCTGGGATCATGGCCATTAAGCAGCTTGATCAGGAGCCAGAGAGGCCATTTGTGGGCGATGACTTGGGGTCTCGTTGGGGTGGGGAGGACAAACCCGGCTCCACCCCCATCCCGTGAGGCCCTGTGTGTCTCGTCACTGGGGTCCCAAACCTGACTATCCAGTGGCCTCTGGAGGATGGCGGCCACCGGGCCACCAGGGGGAACAGGCCAAGGCACGAAACCTATTCCCACCTGGGTTGGCCCAGCACCGGCAACCTACTGCATTTCTGCCAAAAACTGCTGGGTTTTGAGATTTGTTTCTGAGTCTCTGGGATCACGGCCATTAAACAGTTCAATCAGGAACCAGAGAGGCCTTGCCTCCAATTACATAGCGGAGCCGGAGGTGGTTTGTGGATGTGTTTCCCACATACCTAACTTTTTTTTTTTCTTTTTGGGTCACACCCGGCAATGCACAGGGGTTACTCCTGGCTCTGCACTCAGGAATTACTCCTGGCAGTGCTCAGGGGACCATATGGGATGCTGGGGATTGAACCTGGGTCGGCCGCGTGCAACGCCCTACCTGCTGTCTATCGCTCCAGCCCACCCACATACCTAACTTTTGGCTGTTTACTTTCTTGGTAAACTTTGCCCCAAGTTTTTGGGGTCTGGCCAAAGGCACAGCAGCAATTTTGGGGTATCTGGAAGTCTGAAAGTGCCATGAGGCTGCTGATGAACTCGCCTCACAGGTACAGATTGACCTGCTGGCGGCACCATACCCCCCGGATTTTTTTTTTTTTAATTTTAATTTTTGGTTTTGGGGCCACACCCAGTGGCACTCAGGGCTGACTCCAGGGTCTGATCCCAGGGAACACTCCTGGTGGGGCCTGGGGACTGCTAAGCATTGCCAGGGATAGAACCTGCGCTGGACTGCATACGAGCAAGTGCCACCTCCTGGTACTACGTCTGTGGCCTGGCACTGCTCTGCCCGCTGCTGAGCTGAAGGCAGGAAACACTGCCACCCCCTGCACTGTCCTCTGCTTTGCTAGCTCTAATGCAAGAGGCCAGCTTGAGGCTGGCTAGCATTTACTTCCAGCAAACTTGAACCTGGCTCCCACGGCAAAGAGGAGGGCTCACACCTGGTCTGCAGGTTTGGCCCTTTTCATTCCTATCGCTGGCCTGTTTGCGTGTCTGTCCTCTCTAGCTGCAGGAGCGGCTCCTGCACTGTGCTGGGCGAGGCACCAACACTGGCACCAACACTGGCACCAGGTCACACCCCCCAGCCCTCATCTCAGGCTCTAATTTTTTTTTTTCTCTTTCAGTTTTTGGGTCACACCTGGCAGTGCTCAGGTCTTACTCCCAGGTCTGTGCTCAGGGATCACTCCTGGTAGACTGGGGGGACCAAATGGACTGAACCCGGGTCAGCTGCGTGCAAGGTAAACGCCCTCCCTGCTGTAGAGCTCTCTTATTTTTATTTCTCATCTTGAATTCACTGTTCTATTTTCCTTGTTCATAACCCTTTGCTTCGGATTAAGAATGCATTTCTTGTTCCATATTCCATTCTTTATGAGTCTTCATGTTTTAAATACACAGTAAGACTGTCAGCCTCACTAGACACTAGATGAGTCAAACTGAGAAGGCAGCGCATGTCAATTTCCTGTTACTAGTCTGAATTAGTTTTACAGTTTGATCAGCATAAGAAGGGAGGTGGACAATGAGTACTCATAATCTGGGGGATACCAGATGTACAATGAAACGCAGCCCCTGACTTGAGTTCATGAAATACATAAAACACCTTTCAGGTCTTTGTTTTTGACTTCTGGGCTATATCAAGTGGTACTCAGGGAGACCAGACAGTGCAGGGAACAGACTCAGGGCTGACCACGTGCAGCCAGCATCTTAACCCCTGCACTGTCTCCGTGGCCCAAAACACAATGTGTACTAGTGTAGCACTAGGGCAAATACACAAAGCTGGAAAGGCTAATCTGGTAACACAGAGATCAGAGAAAGGCTGGCGTTTGAGGCAGATCCTGCTGGCCATTTTTTGTGAAACAAGCTGAAATAATCTACACCAGCTTTGAGGGGGTCAGGTCGGGGGAAGGTAGGGCAGCTAAGAGGTGCAGCGAGGACCGATACATGGGGCTGGTAGGTGGCTGTGGCTAAGGTGCCCGCCTGCAAGCAGGAGGCTAAGTTCTACCTCAGTTCCCCCACACGTGCTGCCTGCAGATGACTTCCGGCCACAACGCTGCCTGGCATGTAGGAGCACCACGACAGAAAGGGAGCAGTGACAATGACAGCAATGGGCTTGGTGCACATGAGAGCACTGATATGCCCCCCCGAACATGCATGAGCATCACCAGGGAGAAGGGTGCCATCTCACACTGAAACCTAACCCCCACCCCCACCCCGTTCCCACACACACCAGTCAATCACATCTGCAACAGAGGGAAGTAGAAGAGACAAAACAGAAACTAATCACTGCTCAGAGCAGCAACACCGCTGATTGAGAATTCCTGTGGACTGACACAGACATAGTGCTTTTGCACAGACCACGTCAAGTCTGGGCCTCTTCTCTGTGTCCCCAAACTCAGAACAGAGCTGAACCACACTGTGGGCAATGGGCCACAGAAGGCAGCTGAGCAGAGACAGACGAGGAGCCAGGGAAATACATGGCCACTGGGCGTACAGCTCAAGGAGACCAGGCAGACTTGGGAGGCTGAGACAATCAAGGGCTTTGAGAATATATAGTCGCAGGAAGGGAATGAGTGAAAAAATCAAGTGGAGCAGCCTGATGGTGCCTTCAGACTTCCAGATATCCCAAAATTGCTGCTATGCCTTTGGCCAGACCCCAAAGACTTGGGGCAAAGTTTACCAAGAAAATAAACGGCCAAAAGTTAGGTATGTGGGAGACATACCCACAAACTACCTCTGGCTCAGCTATATACTTGGAGGCATGGCCTCTCTGGTTCCTGATCAAACTGCTTAATGACCATGATCCCAGAGACTCAGAAACAAATCTCGAAACCCAGAAGCTTTTGGCAGAAATGCGTCCGGTCCCTGCGTAGGTTACTGTCCCCAGGCCACCCAGGGGGAAAAGGGTGTTGTCCCTCCACCTGCTCCCCCTTGGAGGCTTGGTGGCTTCCATCCACCAGAGGCCATTGGACAATCAAGTTTGGGCCCGCAGTGACGAGACACATGGAGCCTCATGGGATGGGGGTGGAGCCAGCCCTTTCTTCCCTGTCCCAACAAGACCCCGAGTCGCCACCCAGGAATGGTCTCTCTTGCTCCTGATCGAGCTGCTTAACGGCCATGATCCCAGGGACTATTATGAATAACATATGATGTCACACTTAACAGCCATGATCCAAGAGACTCAGGAACAAATCTCGGAACCCAGCAGGATTTGGCAGAAATCCTTCCAGATTTAATTGTTAAAATTTCGGAATTTCAAAATTGCGCAGCCACTACTGCAGCCACATGACATCATATGTTATTCATAACTAGGAATAGAAAACAAATTGTCTACTGATGCCTTTTTGGGAGATCTGAGTGTTGGGTAAAATCTCTTTACATCACTGGATGCCCATCCTGCAGGCTGCTCTGGCTCTGACTGCTGCCTATATACCTGTATTCATTTCTACCTTGCTATTACATATGAAACCAACTTTCAACTTGCTATTGTATGGACATACAAAATACTTTCAGAAAACCTCAGTAACAGAGCAGAAAGCTTTTTGATTTTTTGATCACCCAAGGGTGATTTTGTTTCTTTTCTGAGATGAAAGAGCAGGCAGGGACTGCAGCCTTTATACTTGCAAGTGGAACTGAGGCCCCAGAACACTGTTCCCATACCCTGAAGCGACCCCCTGACTAGCACTAAGATGGCCTGCCTCCTAAACCGTCAGAAAGGACAACTCTACACATAAAGCTCCGTCACCGCTTCTGAGTGGGGACTGCAAGACAATCACATCACTCTTGCCACCATTATTACCTCTTTCTTGGTTTCTTTTTTGGGGTCGTAGTCACTGTCATTTCCATCCACGGGATGTGTTTCTTCCACATCATCATCACTGAGAAGAAACAAGTATCAGTAAATTTATTCCTCTTCTTTTTATATTGCTATGTTCTTATAGCACAGCAATAGGGCATTTGCCTTGCATGCGGCTGGCCCAGTCAACCGGGGTTCAATTCCTCTGCCCCTCTTGAAGAACCCAGCAAGCTACCGAGAGCATCTCGCCCGCATGGCAAAGCCTGGCAAGCTCCCCGTGACGTGTTCGATATGCCAAACACAATAACAACAAGTCTCACAATGGAGATATTACTGGGCCCACTCGAGCAAATTAGATGAACAGTGGGAGGACAGTGCTACAGTGCTTATAAGCAAAGTGCTACAGTGCTTATCAATCTCAAACATACAATTTAAAGATTAAAATTTTTTTTTATTTTTGGGCCATATCTGACAATGCTCAGGGGTTACTCCTGGCCCTGCACTCAGGAATCACTCAGGAGATGCTCAGGGGACCATATGGGGTGCTATGATTGAACCCGGGTTGGCCATATACAGGGCAAGTGCCTTATCTGCTTTAATATCTCTTGAGCCCCCTCAAAATAAAGTATACCTTAATAATTCTACTAATTATTCCCCAATAGGAGTTGAGCTTGAGAAGATGAATTTTTGTTTCAGGTTTCATGTTTAGAAACCTCTGTATTTCTGAGCATATATCTTCATATTCACCAACATTTATAGCTTAAAAATAGTGATTTGATAGCAAACATTAAAAAAATAGAAATATCTGGGCACAAGAAATAGTTCGAGGTACTGAAGCATATGCTTCAAATACAGGCTTGACCCCCTGGCCCTGCACAGCCAGGGGCAACTCTCAGTACGGAGCCAGGCCTGACCCCCAAAACAAACCTAAGAAAATATAGTATCATTCAGGAAAGAAAATATACCTATTAGCTTGCTAAACTACTTATTTCGGTTCTCCAAGCTGTACTATAAAAACAAGAAAAATGAATTTTAGCACATCAAAGACACCGCTCCCCTGGCGTGGTTTCATTCCTTGGGTTATTTTGGGACAGAGCATCCTCCACACACCTTCAGCATATTCCAAACACAGATCAGGACTATGTCACTACCTGATACAGTCTAGTTGGGTATGTCACAACTGAAAGAAGGTGCCTGTGAGCAGTGACACACAGCTCAGAGATGACCAGAGAATGGTCGGGCAGAGTTCTTACTAGGTTTCTGGCTCTTCAGCTCTGCCTACCAGATCTGAACCATGAATGGGAGGACAATGTAAACTGGGATCTCCCTTTTGCCTTAGGAAAGGCCAACAATCGAAACAATGTCCCTCCAAACACAACTCTCTCTATAAAGGCATCCAACCTACCTGTCACCCTGATTATGTCTATTTGCTAGTTTACGAGCCTGGCGATCCATCAAGCTTGTCCTAGATCGAGTTTTTTTCCAGGAATAGTAATATTTTACAAGGCTAGCAATTGTCTTGTCTGGAAGCTTAAAAACAAAACAAAAGCATGTTAATACCATTAGGTTGATCAACAGAACAAATAGTTCTGATATTATTCTTTGAGATGGCATACAAAGGCATAGATTAAAAAGTATTTCATGGTACCTTTATGAATTACAGAGCTGCAAAGTGCTGTCCTACCTGTATAACCACAGTCGTACCACTGATGTTTCTGAATGAATGTTCCTGTTTGTTCTGAGAGTGAGGGGAAAGGTCATGTCACATGTTGGGCTCTCCACAAAGCCCCAAGCAAAGGTAATGTTAGCATTTGGTGTTTTCTTTCCTTATACTCAAGTATTTTTCCCCATTTATAAGCTAGAGTTCTTTTATTTCTTTTTTTTAAAAATATACATATATACATATATATATGAACATAAAATTCAGTTTACTTGTTTTATAGTACTGGGGATCAAACTCAGGGTCTCACCCATGCAAGTGCTTACTGCTGAACTACCCTTGTTTGGAGTCACCGTCCTATGGTGACTTAAATCCAAAAATTCAGCCTTTTAAAGAACAGTCACTAAGTTGTGGATCCACTAACTTTTAATACGAGGCGTTAGTTTTTTTTTTTACAGTGCAAGAGACTAGACCCAGGGTCTTTCGTGCTCTGCCCCTGGCACTCACCCCAGTATTTCTGTGACCTCGAAGGCCGCTTCCTGCACCTACCAGAATCCCTCAGTGTCTGACAAGTGCTCATCAGTCTTTCTGCCAGGAAACCCACTCAGGGTGCTCCCTGAAGTGGGGGGCACTTAGTAGGGTTCTCTGTGCCTGGCTTCTTTCTCTCACTAGTGTATGGCTTTAAGAAGAACCACTGACTTATTGATGACAAATATCTAAATCACTTAAAATGAGCAATCATGCTAGCAAGCAGACATCAGCTACCAGATCAATCTATGGGCATGGAGGGGACTCACGGTCATAGGCTGACACGCCTGACAGACTGACAAGGCTACAAACTAGCAATCCAACTAGGGCTGGGCCACAGGCTGCATGCAAGAGACCCAAATTTGATTTCTTGCATGGCACTCTGAGGTCTACCAACACTACCAAAAGTGACCTCAAATGCTGCCTGTGGCAGAATAAGCCCACAAAACCCCAGAACAAAACAGAAATATTTTCTCTGATATGGAATATACTCAGACATATTTGCAAACATTGATACTTGCTATCCTTATATTCAAGTATTTTTCCCCATTTATAAGCTAGAGTTTATTTCTTTATATACATAGTATATATGTATATATATATGAACATAAAATTCAGTTTACTTATTTTATAGTACTGGGGATCAAACTCAGGGCCTCACACATGCAAGTGCTCTACTGCTGAACTACATCCCTGGCTGTCACCCATTCAGGAGCTGTTTTTCCCTTCAGGGGAAAAAATAGCAACAGCACCAGAGAAATGGTGGAATAACAAGTATTTCTGAAAATTGGTATCTTTAGTCAAAGGAATATAAATTGAAAAATAAATGCAATGCTATCATTTTTTGCCCTAGGATGACAAGCTTTCTCTAGTGTACATATTCAAGTCAAAAATCAATTTCTTGCAACGAAACAGCACAGACCCGGTGATGCACTTGTGGCAGCTGTACTGCATGCAAATATACCCATTCCAAAATGTTTTTATAAACTAGACTGGAAGCTGTTAAGCTTAAGAAGGGTTTGGAGAAGCAGAAGCTGTAATTCAGGTGCAGCGCGCGTGAGACAGGAAGTGCCATACCATCTGCTGGATCCTGTGGAAGCTCTTCCCGTGGAAACTAAAGGCTTGTTCAAACAGGACTTTATCTTCCACCGTCCACTCATCCGGGAAGGGAGTGAAATTAGGGAGATCGGCAAGGGACTTCTCAATGTTATGTTTATGCCAGAACAACATGCCAAGTGCCTTTGAAGAGAAATCCGTCCATCACATTTAAGAAAGTTAAGCACAAATCCGATCAAAAGCAAAAGCCAATGACCTCAGCTGCAGATTCACTCACAAGTTCCCAGATGGCAGACCCTCAGACTCATTTATTTCTCTTAAACCAAGCCCACAGCAGAACAGACATACATACTGTTCACTGCAGATTTAGGAAAACCAATGAACTAGGGAGTGACTGATAATTACTGAAGTGGGTTTTAGGCTTACACCAAGAGCCTACTGTTCACTGGTCAGGCAGTACAGTGGGTAGGGCATGTGTCTTGCACACCAATTACCCAGGCTCAGTCCCCTGCATCCCACATGGTCTCCTAAGTATTGCCAGTAGTAATTCCTGACTGCAGAGCCAGGAGTAAACAAGGAAAAAAAAATTCTGCTCACATTGACTCATTCATCAATGAGAGGAGAAAAATAAGTTGGACAGAAAACATCCGGTAAATCAAAACTCAAAGGAAATAATTAAAACTAGAGGTTCAGTATAAGTAGAGAAATACTCTCACCCACCCTTTAAAATATATCATGGGCAGGACACAGACACTACAAGGCTCAGGTACTTGCCGTGCATGCAGTGGCAAGGCTGGTTTGATCCCTGGTACCACATACAGTCCCAAGTTCTTCCAGCAGTGAGACCTGAGCACCACCAGGTGTGGCCCAACTGGCCCCAAAGCAAAACAAACAACTACCACAGGCTTTAGCAGGGCTGTAGTCTCATTTCTGAGGAGTCAGAGCACTTAATTGTGACTTTACTAAACTTGTAAAAGTTTATTATCATAACGAACACAAAGAATTACTACAAGGCATATTAATAACTTAAAAAACTTCATTAGCAAATCACAAAGTCAGCAAGGGACAAGCTTCACAATTTCACAACTTTTCCCTTCTGTTGTAATTATTTGGGTCTTTATCTGCACTCTAAGATACTAGGTATCCTTTGGGGAATAAAGTTTAATTTTTTTTTTTGGTAGTAGTATTGCTATTTATTCAGCCACTGATTAGGCTGATTGAATTGTGCATGAACTCCACAAAGTTTAAATTTTTTGTTTCTAAAAGTCTAGTCTTAAAAAGAGACAAAACAACTTTCAAAATAAGGAACTCTAGGTTACTTTTTGTATTTCAGTAATACTCCTTGGAAATTAAGAATTTTCTCAAACAAATAAGTAAGTAAGTAAAGGCCCTCCCGTTGATCGTCGATTTGCTCGAGCGGGCCCAGTAACGTCTCCATTGGAGAATTTGTTGTAAGGCGAATGCCCGTTTGCCTTGCACGCAGCCAACATGGCCGACCCGAGTTCGATTCCTCCGCCCCTCTCGGAGAGCCCGGCAAGCTACCGAGAGTATTCGATATGCCAGACACAGTAACAACAAAGTCTCCAATGGAGACGTTACTGGGCCCGCTCGAGCAAATCGACGATCAACGGGAGGGCCTTTACCTTTTACCTTTTACCTTCAAACAAATATTAAAGAGGAAAGTCTAAGGACAAAATACATTATCAAAGCTTTCAAAATTCACAAAAAAACTACAAAGATAAATATGCTTCGTAGACATAATTTATTATTTTACCATGTTAACCATAAAGTTAGCACTTAATAATCTGGGTTATAGATAATTCATTCATTTTAACACGAATCCTGGTAATGGTTGACATAAATACTACCCTGCTGAAATGAGATGTGAGAACGAGCTCCGTGGGCAGAGGGGTCAAGGTATCCAGCTCCTCCCCAGCACAGCCTGGTGGCAACAGCACAACCAGGAGTGACCCCAGAGCCCCTAGGAATGTGCTGGAAAACCAAACAAGGACAGACCTGAGGGGCAGGGGCAGGCTGCACAGCACTCAGCCTGCGATGTGAAGGCCTCAGCTCAGGCTCTGCACCGCCAAGAACCTCAGTCATCTGTCCACATTCTCTAGGCCCTTCTTAGCAGGGATAATGACCCACACAATGTGTCTCCTTTGCTTGTTTTGTTTGTTTGTTTTTAGGCCACACCCAGGGATGCACAAGGGTTGCTCCTGGCTCTGCACTCCGAAATTACTCTTACTCCTGGCAATGCTCAGGGAACCCTATGGGGTGCCAGGGCTGAACCCAGGTTGGCCATGTGAAAAGCAAATACCCTACCCACCGTGCCATAGCTCTGGCCCAGATATGTTTTCTTGTAAAATTATCTGTGGGTCAGGGATGTGGTTCCATGTTAGTGCACTTTCCTTGCATACATGAGGTTCTGAGGTTGATCCCCTGGCACTGCAAAAAACCCCCAAACAAAACAAACAAGCCCGCCCTCCCCCCCCATCATCTTATTTCATTTTGAAAAGACATTTTGTTTTGCTTGTGAGGGAGGGGTCACAACCAGCCTGTGCAGGGCTTACTTCTATCTGTGCTGAGGTATCACTAATGGCCGTGCTCAAGGGACTCTGTGTGGTGCTGGAGCTTGAACAGAGGTTGGCTGCATCTAAGGCAACCTATGCACTGTGCTATCTTTCTGGTGTCATTTGAAATCTAGGTCTTAAGCATTTTTTTAAATTGGCTTGTTTTTGTTTTTGACCACACGCGGCAGTGCTCAGGGCTTACTCCTGCCTCTACGCTCAGGGATCAGTCCTGGCAGGGTTTGAAGGACTATTAAGTTTCTCCGGGGATCAAACCTGGGTTGGCTACATGCAAAACAAGTGCGCTACCTGCTGGTCTATCTATCTCTCCGGCCAACTAAAATAAGAAGTTCAACTTTTTAGATCTTTTAGATTCATAAGTTTAAAAATATTATTTATACTCAAAATTTCTCTCTCACTTTGGCTACCAGTTGTCAGAGTGACCTGAAAGGCTTTCAGACAACCTCTAAGACTCCAAGCAAGAAAAAGGTATTGAGAAGAAAACGCTCAGGCCTGGGAGCTGAACTGCATGGCTGATGCCAGCTCCTTCCGCTGGGCTCTGCAGGACCGGCAGCACCACACACCTGCTCCACATTGTAGCCGTGCTTCTCCTTCGCAATCGCGATATACTCGTCCACTGCAATGAGACAACGGCACAGGTCACTCACTGTCTCAGGGCTCCTTTATAACTATCACAGAATAAAACAGATCGCAAGGTTAAAAGAACGAGCCATCACCGGATGAATGAAATGTCACCAGAAACATTCACTTCTATAAACAGCACCAGAAGCTCACTTGGTTCAAAATTCTACTCAGAATGACTTACCTCTATGAGCACATAGGATGTACTTATTAAATTCAATGTTGCTAGTATTATTTCTTAAAACCAAAGAAAGATTAGTTTGAGGCTGGCCATGGCTTCCGAGCTCCGTGTGACGTGCCAGATGGCTTCCTGCCTCTCCTGCCAGCTGTCCAGGACAGGAGCTGAGTATTCCCTTCTAGACTCAGAGCTGGCCCGATGCCCTTTCGAATAGCTGTATAGAGGCATTTATTTCTAGTTTTTCCAGCTCTACCTAAGAACACCACGAGCCACGTGTGCTTCATATCACGAGCAGGTTCTTCAGCTCCTGCTATTCCCTACACAAAAGGCATCTGGGCATCCCATGTCCACTTATCCCTGGCATGGCATCAGGCGGCCAGAGGTGTGCCAACAGAAGAGCTTGCTGGGATCAAGGCACTGGTGCGGGATGTCAGTCTGCCGCTCCCCACAGGGAGGACCCAGTTTTGAGTGAAGTTCGGAGCCACTCCTGGATCCTTGAACTCAGACAGATGGAAAGGAAAGGAATGTCAAAACCGCATCCAGGAGGAGCCGCTAAGATGTAATCAACAGCAGCTAATGTACTCCAGTGGGATGCTCAGATCCTGGCAATTTTTCACCTTAGGCAAACATTTTTGTACTTTTTTACTTTAGTTTTCTCACTGTAAAATGGTGTTAAAAAGAATAGCTTCCTAGGAAAAGATAGGTTAATGTGTGCTAAGTGCTTATAATAACATCAGGCATATTTTAAGCATTCTATAAAAATTTACTGTATTTAGTGCAATCAACATATAACTATGCTACTAAAACAATACTTATGTTAGAATAATAAAGAATTGGGGGGTGGGGATTTGGATCACACCCAGAGCTGCTCAAAGATTACTCCTGGCTCTGTGCTCAGGAATCATTCCTGGTAGGCTCAGTGGGAAAAAAATGGGATAACGGGGATTGAACCTAGGTGGCCATGTCCCAGGCAAGTGCCCAAACCACTGTACTACCTCTCCAGCCCAGAATAATGACTTTATGGATGATATAGCTCTTTAAGACATATGTTTTTCAGGCAGAAAGTTCAAATATTGTAACCTCTTAGACCCCACAGCTCTTAAAAAGATGTCAGTTATATACGAGTTGATCAACTGGAATACAAAGGTGCAGCTGGCTGGGAGACCTGGTCACGGGGTTGGCAGGGTGTGGAGGGTGGAGAAGAGGGTTTTTAAAGCCAGTCTGACTTGAAACAAAAGCCATCCCGATGGAGCTGGTTTGAGCAGTGTTTCGGAAGCTCTGGAATAGGGTACCTGCGGACTGTGTGAAGGAAAGCATACACAACAGCATGTGGCTTTTGGATTTTCATCCTTATTAAGAAATGTGCCATCGTCTAAAACAACACTGAACTAGCACCTGATGTCTGACTTGTGGCCAGCAGTGAGCATGGAAGCGAGAGCGCAGACCACACCGACAGTCTGTGCACTCTGCAGGCTGCTTCTGAGGCAGCCGCCCCGAGGTCACAGAGAGGCCGTGGCTGGGTTCCGAAGTGAGCACATAGAAAGGATGATCAGGTCTGCAGAACACAGAGCTTCCCATTCCCTCCGTTTGGTTTTGGGTCCAAAAGGTGGTGCTCAGGAGTTCTCCCTGCTCAGTGTTTGGGGGTCACTCCCAGGGCTTCTCTGGGGGCCGTGCAATCTGTGGCGCAGCAGTTAGACTCACTGTGCACACGGCACACAGGACATCACTTCCACGGCACTAAAGAAACCATTGTGGGACACTGGTACTTTACAGCTGCCAGAATGGCTGTTCAGCAGTACCTGTGTCCTCTGAATGGAGTTGACAGTACCTGAACGGAGGGTGAGGTCGCAGTCTGTCATCTGCACGTCTCCTACATCTGATGTGCTGCAAGGGATCGGTCCACTACATCCCAGTGAAGTCTAAAGTCACACAGTGCATCAAGAATGCAGGGTGAAGGGTCCAGAGACCATCCAGAAATGGAAAGCAAAGGTGGCCTGAGAGGCAGCTGCTGGAGTCAGTCCTTCCCCTCTCCTCCTTACAATGTCATGGGGGCTCGCGGAGGCGCCACAGCGTTGTCGGCAGACCGAGGCTGAGCCACCAGGTGTCTACAGAGGATCTAAGCAGTAAGACCTCATCCTAGGGGGCTCAGTCTTCCTGGGCCTGACACAACAGAGGTGATCGACTTCCATCCCTCAAACAGAAAAACATTCTAATATAACAACCTCCACCAAGAAAAGGAAACAAAACCAACTGCTTCTTTATGAGAGTAAAAGATCCCATAGCAAATCTCCATTGACCCGACTGCTCTGGCCCTCCTGAGACAGACTTACGCTTGGCATCAGGCACGCTGTGCTGTGGGGACCACACGAGCATCCCGCCATTGTCCTTATCCGTGTACTTTGTAGCACCTGCGGGGAGATAAGTCGCTCTCAGTAGGATGATCTTATTTACCTTCAAAGTAATTATGGACAAAGTAAGCTTTATTATTATTATTATTTTTGGAACGGTACCTACAGCAACAGCAACAACAACAAAATAACAAATGATTTAGAAAGACAAAGAGAAGGAAAAGACATCTTCAGTAAATATAGTCAATATTCTGCTTATGGAAAGAAAGGAAATTATACAAAAGCTGGAATTTACCCTGTTGCATTAAAAAACAGCAAAACACTCTTAACTCCATAACCTTTTTTTGTGGGGCCGGGAAAAGAGATGAGCATGTTGTTCTGGGGACTGAACTTGTGGGCTAGGCAAAGGCCCTGGCCCACCTGAGTAAGCTCCTTGGCCATGACCTGCTTCTGATGAGGTCATCAATCTCATTCAACTTCCTGCCATTAAAACTCAGGACTCTTGTTTTCTATTTTGATTTCCAAGCACTGACATCTTTGTCTGGGTCTTGGCAGCAGTGCTTGGGTCCTGCAGGTCACCAGGGGCACTCTCAGTTCTCCTAAGGTGACCAGGTGCCACAACGAAACCTGGGATGTGTGTGTCAGGCATGTGCCTCTAGCCTTGCGGCCATCTCCCTGGATTCCTTACAGCTGCTTTTTTATTACCTTAAAAATAAAACTCCCTGCTGGGAATCTGCAAGATCTTCCCTTTTATTTGGGGGCCACACCCAGCTGTTCTCAAGGATCACTCTTGGCAGAGCTCAGGGGACCATCTGAGGTGCTGGGGATCAAACAAGGCAAGCACCTTAATTCCCTCTTTGGCCCCAGACTTTCTTGGTAGCCTTACATTTTTCATATATCTCTAAAAGCAAATGCTCTGTGTAAGAAAACAAAGCTGACCTACCACTGCTGCCATATAAGCTCCTCTACTGGACTTGTTCCAGAGACTCATAAATATATCTTAAAGGAGATCAACTAGTCACAAAAATGTCTCAGATACCTAGTCCAGGCTGAGACGTCCAAGGGCGATCTTGGGACTGAGGGAGAGCCAAGTTTCCACCCTACCAAAGCCCCTGCAGCCCCTAGACCCCAAGGGCCGGACTGCCCACTTAAATATTCTGGATTTTCTGGACATCTCCAAACTCTACACTGCTAACATCCAGTAGGACCACGCCAGATTGGATGAGAATGTAATGTAGAAGCCGACTAATCTTGACTAACACAATATTAACACAGAAGGCTTAACTTGCAACAACAGCTTAAAAACCTCAGACAAGGACATAAAATTCTCATGGTGTGAGATAGAACAATTTTTGCAAATTTTCTTTTACTGAAATATTTTTGATCATTCCATTAGCCATTAAGTAGTGGTAACAAGCAACATAAAATAAATTATTGTGTTTCTGCTGTAGGAGCAGGCTTGAGGGGAAAGGGAGACAACCGTGGAGGGAAGGTGACAATGGTGGTGGGACTGGGGTTAGAATACTGAATGCCTGTAACAAACCATCATAAACAACTTTATAAGTCATGGTGTTTAAATAAAGTGGGGTGAAAATGAAAAACAAAGTTAATGTCTTATTACCACACCCTGGCCATAGTATATCACCCAAGGCCCACCTCTGACCCCGACACAAACTATCAACACTTTCTAATTTGTTTCTAATGTTATAACCTAAAAAAAGCTCTCTTAAGCTGCATGTAAATGAAGAATAGACAGAAAAAATCAAGAGCCTGACACAGCTACTTCAGAGCCAGCACATGCAGTGGGTCTGTCTTTTAATTCTCTTAGGCCTTCTGCTGGCTTTTTGCTAATTCCTAGGAGAATCCAAGTTAATGAAAACCATCAACAACGAAACATTATGGCTGTCTGTTTCAGGGAGACTTGCCCATGGATGTTACAACTTATTTTCATGAGATGTTAACTGTAACCATCAATTGTAGCACTGTAGTACTGTCCTCTCTGTTGTTCATCAATTTGCTGGAGGGGGTACCAGTAACTTCTCTATTGTGAGACTTGTTACTGTTTTTGGCATTTCAAATATGCCATGGGGAGCCTACCAGGCTTTGCTGTGCGGGGGGAGATACTCTTGGTAGCTTGCCGGGCACTCCGAGAGAGGCGGAGGAATCGAACTCAGGTCAGCCACGTGCAAGGCAAACGCCCTACACACTGTGCTATCGCTCCAGCCCATTACCATCAATTACTGACCAGAACTCCAAATCTGCTCACATAATTCTATCATAATTCCGGGGTTTGCTATCATGTATATTAAATCAGAGGATACGTGGAGGGACAATCATTTCCAGGGCTAGAGACCTATGATCTACATCAAGATGTTATTTGTCAAACAATACTTTAAAATTATTAGGCTAAACAATACTTTTGAATGATTGTTTTTCCTTTTTTCAGAATCATTATATTGAAAATGTTTCCCATTTCCATCCAGCAAACATCAGGTAGAAATGGCACGTCATTAGTAAAATCTAAAGCTAAAACTTTTTTTTAAACTTTAAAAATTATAAGGAAAAATTTAAGGAAGCGGAAAGAGAACAAGAACCACTGCTGAGTCAGCTTAATCAGTGGCTGAATAAATAGCAGTACTCCTACATTAAAAATAAAAACAAACAAAAAAAACCCCATATCTGAAAGGTCAGGAAAACCATAATAAACATAAATCTAAAAGCAAACTCTACTAGATTTTGTCAAAAGTTCACTTAATAAAAGACCAAACTGGAACATTTAAAAAATGCAAATCAGAAGCACATTCTCTAAAACTCTTATTAATGAAAGTAGATTTTTAAATCTTGTCTTTTAAGGACTGTACTTGGTTTTTAACCATATAAAACAAAAGCACAGGCACAAAATAGTCGACTACTCAATGGAAGTTCGACACCGGAGTTGGTCACAAGTCTCATTTGAATCACATCAAATTTTGGTGAAGGGACTAGAGCAATGGTATAGTGGGTAGGGCGTTTGCCTTGTACGCGGCCGACCCGGGTTCGATTCCCAGCATCCCATATGGTCCCCCAAGCACCGACAGGAGTAATTTCTGAGTGCAAAGCCAGAAATAACCCCTGTGCACTGCTGGGTGTGACCCCCAAAAAGCCAAATTTTGGTGAATATCTAAATCAGAACTCCATCTTTCCTTTAACATGGGCTGATGGTGACCACTAATAAGACCACAAAAGGTTCCTACTAAGTCTCAAATCTAATAGCAAAAAAATGGTTCTTTGTAGTCTAGGTTTTTATTAAAATGATTCTTCATAATTATTTAAATAAGTCTTCATAAATCTTAACACCATAACAAATGGTCCAATTGAGAGAGAAGGGATAAAAGAGAGTCTTTTTGGAAATAGACATTGTTATTTTTGCCCAATGACCTATTTCACAAACTTTTCTCAGAAAAAAAGAAAACAGTTTAGCATGGTGGTTGAGTCTGACCCTAGTGAACAGGCTGCAGCCCTCCCACTGCCAGGTGTTGCTGCCCAGGAAACTCACAGCAGGTGTGGGCACCTCACACTAAGTCATCTAAAGAGAGGCACAAGCTGCTCACCAGTGTCAGGAATGACCAAGTCACACAAGTTACAAAGTGGAAAGCCCCTGGCCCATGGCAGGCTCTGCCGGTATACTCTTACCAGCACCTGCTGCGTTAAGACGGAGCTCTGAGATCCTTCTGACTCCAGGCTGGAAAGGCTGATCAATGAACTGACTGCATCAGCTAGAAATATCAAACCTCAAATGGCTCATCTTCTCTTACCACCTCCCTGAAAACAAGACTGGATAGCAGCGAGAGAGATAATACAGTAGGTAGGGCACTTGCCTTGCACAAGGCTGCCCTGGGTTCAATCCTCTGCATCCCCTACAATCCCTCGAGCCCACCAGGAATGACTTCTGAGCGCAGATGGGATGCCTCCCCCCATCTCCCCCACCCCCTCAACCAAAGAAACATGAAGGAAAAATAAGACTGGATAGCTAAAATGACAATGACCTTTTTGTTCTGGAAACTCAAATCTGATTCCTCTCCTAGCATGGAGAAAGCAACTTGTAAGACTGAAAACAGTATGTCCACCCCTGGGAATGCACTGCATCAATGGGAAAATGAACTAAAATATTCATTAAATATGAATTCAAAGCTTATTTTCTATTACATGCACCAATATTTCAGATTATACCTCAGAAGTATCTGAATCATACTCAGAAATAATCCTGAGAATCAAACAACTCATTAACAAAAATTTCCAGGTCTTGGAAGTATCCCGTCTCCTGAACAAATCAAGAAATATGTCCAACTGGAAGGATCCACTGGGGGGCATGGAAGACAGGCCAAAGTGCTGGAACATGGGCTCTGTACAACAGAGGCCCTAACTGGATCAACAGGAACCAAGGAGAGCAGCCCTGAGCACTGGAGTGTGGCCCCAAAACAAAAGGGAAAAGAAAAGGAAAAAATGTTAAAGCAGGATCCTTGAAAAGTTTAGCTCTTAACTGCCAGTGGTAAGATGCACAGGAATATGTCCATTATGGCTAAGGGAAAATCCAATGACTGAAACACAAAACTAGACTTTACACAAGCTAGTATTTCTACACCAACAGCAGCAAACTGCAAAAAAAAAAAAAAAAAAAGCACACGTCAAAATCTTCTTCCACTCCCTTTTAGATTTTAGACGTTTACCATAAAGACTTTGATGGAACAAAAAACTTAAAACACTGCATGAAGATGCTCAGATTTTTATACAATCCTATTTGTGAGTAGACTCTGAATCACATCTTCAACTTCAGTCTTTTGGGGTGTAGGGGTGTTGATGGGAATCAATCTCCAGCCCCTCATTTTCCCCAGGTTCTGGAGCAACACCATGAAACTGCGGCTGACTTTCCCTTCACAAACTCACAGAAGCGGTCACAGGAGGTGTGTGTCTGGAGGGGAGGACACACAAATCTTTCAAGATGTAGACCAAGGGCGTTAGTAAGATCCTCATTGCCGTGACCCTACAACTTCAACTGAATATTCATTTATTGCGGTAAATCAAGATAGGAGAGATTTAACACTAAAGAACCTCATTTTCACAAGAGCACACATTGCCCTGGTAGAGAAATCAGGCAAGAGATCAAGCATAGTGTGGGAAGGGCCCAAGAGTGACTACAAAGATAAGAAGAAACAATGTAACTTCCTGAAAATTAGGAACCTGCCAGTCTGTTGGCTATTGTTACAGTACCAAGTATTTATACTTAACTGGATACATTTTCAATACAACCAGCTTTGGGGCTGGAGCAATAGCACAGCCTATAGGGCATTTGCCTTGTACGCTGCCGACCAGGGTTCAATTCCCAGCATCCAATATGGTCCCCTGAGCACCTCCAGGAGTAATTCCTGAGCGAAGAGGCAGGAGTAACCCATTTAACGCCGGGTGTGATCCAAAAAGAAAAAAAATTGAGCTTTGTTTCAATGTTAATAATTTCAGCAATGGCATAGTCCATTCCTCATTGCTTACAGATAATAGACTAGGAACTTAAGTGTGTGATGGTATAATTTCAAAATTCATAGTGATGCCAGCTGTGAGTCTGCTTAGCTACAGTCCCTACGCTCAACAGTAGTGACCGTCCCAGTGTCTGTCTCTGCTTCTTGGCCCATAGAGGGCAGGAGTCCCACACTAACCATCGAGAGGAGCAGGACAAATGCTGCTGTGGGTGGTGCTGTGGGTGGTTCTAGGGATGGCTAGTTCCTCCCTAGGGAACTAAGAGAGCATCTGGGCCTTGTGTAGGGTGAAAAGATGCTGCCCAATTAGTTGGGGCGTCCCATGGCCAAGAGTGGCCAGGAAAGAGCAGCTGCAGGCTCAGGCACAATGCCGCGGGGCTGCCCTGAGGGTCCTGATGGGACTGACAGCCCCACTGCTCTGGATAGGGCCTGGGGTAGGAGCTGGGAGGTGTGAGGACGCTTCAAGGGCCTACAAGGAACCCATGGCAGAACTGTGAGGCTACAGTTGTGCATGTGGTCATGGCTTAGGCCTTCCACCAGCCCTAGTGGGCAGTGGATGCTGGTTCAAACCTACGGGCCCCAGCAGAGTGGAAGCTGGCCTTCAGCAGGGAGGCTGCTGTCCCCCGATTCCAGTGACAGGAGATAACAGACCACCACTTCCCCTCCCCTGTGCTCTAGTCTCCGGGTCTCCCTCCACCCCAGTGCTGGACACACGGCTCCCAGACCCCTGAAGGGAGGCCCCACCGTGCACACGTGGCGCCACCTTTACACGGGCCCAGCATGTCCCCTGACTATCCTGTTTCTACTAGACATAAGGGTGTTCTGGGGTTCTAACATGTGCTCTAGAGTGTGCTACTATGATCTGGTACGTTATTCCTTAGGCCTGGGAAGACAAAACTTTTTTTTTTTTTGCTTTTTGGGTCACACCCGGCGATGCTCAGGGCTTACTCCTGGCTCTGCACTCAGGAATTACCCCTGGCGGTGCTCAGGGGAACCATATGGGATGCTGGGATTCAAACCTGGATTAGGCTGCGTGCAAGGCAAACACCCTACCCGCTGTGCTATCACTCCAGCCCCGACAAAACTGTTTTAAAATGTGAATGGTTGCTTCCTTGCTTTCGCTCATTCCTGAGTATGAAAGGCTTCACAGGAAACATTCTACTTTCTGATATTAGAAACCCTTTACCTCCCTGTTCCAGACTACTAAGGCCTGGTGAGGTCAGATTTTCCATTCAGTGACTAGGTCACATCACCTAGTACGAAGGCACACAAAGACAAAAATCTTGGTCACTCCATGAAAGTTCTGGATGGCAGCAGTAAGTGGGTATGAAGCCCAAGTCTGAAGACCCCAATCAAGAACTCACAGGGCCTGAGAGCTAGTACAGCAGGCAGTGCTTTCCCCATATATGCTGGCCTGGGTTTGATCCCCATACCACAGTGCCTCCTGAGGACCACTGAGAAGCCGTGAGCACTGTCGTATGTGACACCTCCTTCCCCTCAAAAAAAGAAAAAAAATAACCAAATGGAAAAGGCACCTGCTAGGGGCTGGAGTGATAACACAGCAGGTAGGGCGTTTGTCTTGCACGCAGCCGACCCTGGTTCAATTCCCAGCATCCCTGAGCACTGCCAGGAGTGATTCCTGAGTGCAAACCCAGGAGTAACCCCTGAGCATTGCCAGGTATGACCCAAAAAGCAAAAAAAAAAAAAAAAAAAAAAAAAAAGGCACCTGCCACCTGCTAATCAGCTATAAAGGCATTAATACCTTAAGATAAATTGTTCTTAAACCCCCAAAATTTTATTTTTCATAATTTAAAAAATACTTCAATGCCTCATTCTGCATCAAAGTGGGGACAGCTGCTCCCGGTGTGCAGAAAAGGTAAATGTGGCCATACTGGCCCACAGGATGCGGGTCATGCTGGCTTCACAGCAAATTTGTCATCACCATGGTAACAATAAAACCTGTACCATAGTCTTTCTGCTTAATTTCTATCATCAGCTCCCCCAATGAAAATATTGTTCAGGGGCTACGCGGAGAGTCAGCAGGTGAGGCGCTTTAATCCCTGGCAGCCCGTATCATCTCCTACTCCCCCACCCCCAAGGTGATCTCTGAGCACAGAGACAGGAGTAAACCCTGAACATCGGCCAGATGTAGCCCCCCACAAAACACCATAAAATATCGTCCACTCATAAATTCCCTTTCATGTTGACTTCATCCTGATCATATTTTGGTACCCAGGGAAGTTTACTTCCTAGTGACTTGGCTGGCTCAGTGAGATCTCAGGCTAAAAGCTGAGTGGTTGAAAGACACTGGCATGAAGGGAGGGAATGATGTTTCTCAGTTTATAGGATGAACGTCTCCCCACTTTTTCTAGGAAATGTTCTCACCCAACTGTAGTGGATGTACAAAGTGAAAAAGTACAAGCTCCCACAACAGTGTGACACTTGAAGCAGAGCAAACACAGGTGCCTACAGACTCAGTGTTTTCCGGCAAAGGGGTCTCATTATTCAGAAGTCATGTTTATCTGGGGGAGACTGGCCTAACACGACAGAAAACCCACCTGAGCGTTCAGTGGGCTGATCAGAGATGTGACCCCAGGGGAAAATCCTTGGGAGAGTATCAGGATGACAATGAATCAGTTCAAAGAAAATCACCCTTACCCTTCTCTTAACAGAGCGTCAATTATAATCTGAATAAGTTGAAAATAGTTTTATTTTGAAAACAGTAATAGTTCAGTGGTTCCCCCCCACAAATGTTCTGTTCTAAGCAGCCATCTACGATCATCAAGTAAACCGGATAACCCACCAGGGACCCCTAAAACCACCTCAGTCTCCTGAATTTCTAGTGGATCATTTTAGATGTGCACGTTCATCCCGGCGTCTATCACGGCGGAAATCACTGCCCAGCTGCGGCGCGCCCACCCAGGAGGAAGGGTCGTGGACAGCAGCGGCCTCCCGCGGACACGACAGGCAGGCGTGGGGCAGCGCAGGGCGGGGCTCAGGCTCTGTGCTCGGACTCCGAATCAACCCGATTCACTCCCCCTCACGCCCCAGCAAGCCCCAGAGAGTCCAAATGCGCACAGTCTTCAGCACGAGGGGCCGCATGAAAGGCGAAGTCTGGGAGGCAGCCAATTGCCCCGTCAGCTAAGGCTGGCAGGGAAAAAAAAATTTTTTTTTTTTGGGCTGTGCCAGAAACCGAACGACCGCGAAGCGCCACCACGGAGCCACATCCTCAGCCCCCCGGGAGCTATTTTTATTTCGCCTCTGACAACCGGGGCCGAGGGCAGCCCGGCGGGATGCTCTGAGCCCAAGGGCCGCGGGGCTGCGAGCGCATCCGGGGCCCACGAGCCCCTTCCCGGGCGCCCTCTTCGCCGCGGCCGCGCGCGGGGCAGGGGGCAGCTGCCGGCGGGGCGCGCGTCGGCCAGTGCGGCGCGGCCGGCGGCCCGGCCCCTCTCCGCGGTGGGCTGCGCGCCGGGTTCGGGGCTCCGGCCAGGGCGCCTCCGTGCGCCCAGCTCCTGCCCAATCCGAGTCGGGGCGCGAGTCCCGTGACCGCCGGGGAGCCTGTTCGGAGAAAAGTCGAGGGGAACCCGCGGCCCGGTTGGCACAGGCCGCCGCAGCCCGGCGGCCCCGGGTAGAATTTCTCCTTGGCGCGCGGCGCTGCCCGGCCCGCCCGCCCGCCCGCCCGAGTGACAGCCGCGGGGCCGCCGCCAGCACCGGCCGGCTGGTCGGTCGGTCGGCCGGCCGGCTCGGCTCGGCTCGGCTCGGCTCGGCCCGGCCCGGCCCGGCCCGGCCCGGCCCGGCCTCCGCCCCCGGGGCCGGCGGGGTGGCCGCGGCCCGGCCCGGGCGCCGCCCCGCCGCCTCCACGTTCACCTTGCCGGCCCGCCGCCCCCCGCGCGCTCGCTACCTGGGTCGAATTCCGGGATCCGAGCCTGGTATTCGGCGCCGACTCTCATCCCAACATCTGCAAAGCAACGGCCAGACAGAGAGCGGGGGAGCGAGGGAGCGGGCGGGAGGGCGGGAGGGGAGGCGCTCAGCGGGGCGGCGGCGCGGGGCGCGGGGGTCGCGGCGCGGCGCCGGGAGTCGCGGCCACCGCAGCGCGGGCGCGAGGGGAGGAGGCGGGCGCGCGGCGCGGGCGGGGAAGGGGCGGCGGGGGAGGGGCGCGGGCCGGCGGGGGGGGCTACCACCGTGCTCGTCGTCGCTGCTGCCGCCGCTCTCGGGCTCCGACGAGGCCAGCCCGCCGTTGGTGGCCGCCGCGCCGCCCCCGCCGCCCGCCGGGCTCTTGGCGCCGCCGCCGCCGCCGGCCGCGCGGCTCCTGCCCAGCAGCTCGGGCCCTTTCTCCATCATGCCGGGCATGGTGGGAGAGGGGAGGGGGGCGGGCGAGGGCGGCGTCGGGGTGAAGGGGGAGCGGGCCGGGCGCGCGGGCGAGCGGGCGGGGAGGAGACGGCGGCCGGGAGGAGGCGTCAGCGCGGAGCCGCCATGGCCGCCGCCCGCCGCGCAGCCGCCCGCGCGCCCCGCCCGCCCCGCCCGCCGCGGATCACTCCGCCCCGCGGGGAGGGGCCGCTCCGGGAGCGCCGCGCCGCGCCGCGCTGGAAGGGCCGCCGGGGCCGCCGCGGCCGCCGCAGCCGCCGCCCACCCGCCGTCCCCGCGGGCGCCTCCGCCGCGAGGCTGCCCTTCCGGGTGGCGCGTGGGGCCACGGCCTGGGGGCGCTCGCCCGCGACGGGACTCTTTGAGCTCGAGGGGCGGAAGGAATTCGGAGTCGGCTGAGCGGTCCACCCCGCCCCCAGGGCCAGCGCCTCGCCCCCCCCGCCGGGCTAGGGTCCCGCCCCCAGGACCCGCGCCCCGCCCCTGGACTAGAGCCCCGCCCCGGCTAGGCCCCGCCCCTGGACCCACGCCCCGCCCGCTAGACTAGAGACCCGCCTCCTAGACTATAGCCCCGCCCCCGGTTAGGACCACGCCCCCAGCCCCCTCGCCCCGCCCCCTAGACTAGAGCTCCGCCCCCTAGACTAGAGCCCCGCCTCCAGAGCAACGCTCCGCCTCTCGGAAGACGCCCTCGCTCGAACACGGCCGACGCCCCGCCCCAGCACGGGCTACCTGCGGATCCACGCGGGAGCGCAGCCGGAGCCGCAGCCGCAGCCGCAGCCCCATCGCCGTGTTTGGCACTGCCACCTCGCCGAGCCCCGCTTTTCGCCAGGTCGGGGCTACCGCCGAGGTCGGCCGGGCCCGGAGCCTCCGCGCGGGGCGGAGTCTTATTCGCAGGCGACCCCAGCCGGGCCCTGCGCCCCCCCCCCCCCACCCTGTCGCCTCCCGGGAGCGCTTCTCCCGCCTGTCCTGGGCCGACGCGCAGGAGCCGCGCTGCCCCCGGGCACCGCACGGCGGCGGCGCGAGACGTCGCCACGGTCACTTCGGGTCGGGGCTGCGCTCTAGTTGTGGGCACCCTGAGAGCTGCGCGCTGGGCGGCCGGAGGGTCCCTCGTCCGGTGCGCGCAAGCCGGCCCCCCCCTCCCCCCCGCGGGCTCGGCGAGGTTCCGGCGTCCGGGGACCGGGTGCCACTGGCTGAAATCAGACAGACTCTGGGCGGGTGCAGATGCGCAGGTTCCAGGGGAGGCGATGAGGCTCCCCGGGCCCGTACCTGCGCCGCTCCCTGCGCTGCCACCCGGAGAAAGCCTTTGCCTGCCCTTCCTCCCAGGGAGCGTTAGGACCGGCTGGACTGCGCAAGCCGATGCGTGAAGGGTCGGGTGGAGAGAAGCGATTGGAGACTCCTCTGAGGAAGTGGATCTTTGCAGGGATGAGCCCTCAGCTCTGTGTCAGCATACCCTGCGCCTCCTTCCTAAGGGTACCGTGGCAAGTGGCCACCGAACGCCACAGGATTCAGGCACGTGAGACAGGGGCCAGTGGCCTCTTGCCTCCAGGGACCCAGAGCAAGGCCTGCTCTGCCCTTTCCAACTCCCTTCGTCGTTAGCATCTCTGCCTTCCTCTCTCCTCCACCTCCACCAAAGAAAGAGGTTGTGATGGCAACCCAGCACCCCAAATTCTCCTTCTCATCTGTCAAGTTTGGGGACTAGGACTGGTCTGGTGGGGCAGACCAGTCCACCACCCAAACCCGTCCACCACCCAGGGTTGAATCTTCAGGCCCAGCTGATGTCACTGGAAGGCCCAGGTAAATGTTCAGAGACTCCATACTCTTGAACCAGAAGGCTCTGTTTTTGTTTTGAAAGGGGGTGGCCAGAGAAAGAGCTCAAAGGGGCGGAGTGCAGGAGGTCTGGGCTCTGTCCCCAGCACTGTGGACCCCTGAGCCTCACCAGGTGGGACCCTAGATGGCCAGGAGTAGCCCCCCATCCTCAGCAGGTGATCCCTCCTCCCAAGTTTCCCCCAAATTATCTTTAGAGTTACTCTAACCTCAATTTGAAGGCTTCAGATTTTGTTTATAAACAAGCTGATTCTAAAATGCATGTGGAAATTCAGAAGGTCAACGTCAAACAATATGGAGCAACAGACTGGAGGATTCAAACCAGCATGTTAGAAGGTAGACTAGTGGGCTGAGCTGTGTCCTGCCAGTGCTTTATTCATGTGCTGGCGACTCTGCACATTTCAATAAGCGGTGCTGGCCCATGGAAATCCAGGTGAGAAGAAAGAAACCAGACACTGGCACTAAAAGCATCAGTTCTAGATGTTATTATCAATACATCAATTCTTACGACTTTAATAAGGTAAAATAATAGTGTTTTAAAAAGTCAAATATTTCTTAAACAGGACACAAAAATTGGCACGTGCCTTTCATATAGGAGATCCGGGTCTGATTCTTGGCACCCCAAATGGTTTCCCAAACCCACCTGGAGTGATCCCTGAGCGTGGGGCTGGAAGTAGCTATAAAGGAAAAGATGGAACAGTCTGGGTGCAGGAAAACAGTGAGGGACTAAGGAAATTTTATTGGCCTGTCCTGTTAGGGAACCACATGCACTTGTGGAGAGTGAAGCTCACTTCTCCTTTTCAAGACACTGGTCCCACTCCAGAAGGTTCCACATTCATCAAAGTCCCAAACACCACTGATGCAGGTCATCAACCCATGGCCAGCATTGCAGCAAAAGAATTGGGGGTCAACCACAGATGTTCAGATTGGAGCAGTCTGTACCTACTTTCTGACCATACCAGATGTGCGCTTAGCGGCTTTCAAAAGAGATTGGGGTGTGGGGTGGAATGGGGAGGGATGCCGTTCACAGAAGCTCTTCCTAGCGTTTTGCTCAGGAGTTTGGTATTTGAGAAACCTGCTGATGTCTGGGAGACCCTATGTGGTCTAGGGGTTTAAACTAGGGCTGGTCACAAGTACAAGTAAGGCATGTGCCTTACCTCCTGTACTGCCTCTCTGGCCCAATAAAATATTTTATTTTTTAAGAGTGTTTTTTTTTTTTGGTCACACCCGGCAATGCACAGGGGTGACTCCTGGCTCTGTACTCAGGAATTTCTCCTGGCGGTGCTGGGGAACCATATGGGATGCTGGGAATTGAACCCGGGTTGACTGCATGCAAGGCAAATGCCCTACCTGCTGTGCTATTACTCCAACCCCCCAATAAAATATTTTAATGAAATTTTGAGTATGTGTTTCTCCTGGGAGATTTTCTTTAGTAAAGCTTTGAATTTCAATTTGAATGAATTCAGGTTGAGAGGCCAGAGAGATAGCATCACGGGTTGGCACGTGCCTTTCATATAGGAGATCCGGGTCTGATTCTTGGCACCCCAAATGGTTTCCCAAGCCCACCTGGAGTGATCCCTGAGCGTGGGGCTGGAAGAGGGTAGCCCCCAAAATACTCAATTTAAAAAGTTAAAAAAACCCAAATAAGGTATTTGTGAGTCTATTAATGGCAAACTCCAAGTCTGCCTTGTATCCTGTGGGTTACCTTAGACATAGTTTAAAGCTCTCTAGGTTCATACTTCCCTTTGAAATGTATTTCTCTGGGCATGGGACCTCGGGCCTCATGCCTGCCAGGAGTCCGCTCTGAGCCATGTCCCCGGCTCTCCACTTAAGTCTGAAGGAAGCGGAAGCAGTGTGAGCACTGGAGAGAAGCAGACACCTACTTGGCCTCTCCCATTGTCTTGGGAGATCTCAGTCCCTCACAGGCCAGCATGCCCTTCGTCCTCCCCACGTGCCTGCAGGTGCAGCCTGCTCTTCAGAGGGGGTGTCCTGAGCAAACACACTGATGGGCAGCCTCACAGGGGCCCCTGAACTGCCGTCCGAGGCCACACTCCATCTGCAGCACAGCACGGCTGCCCAGAATGTGCTGAACTGTACCATCTGTGACTACGCACAGAGTCCATGATGGGAGGAGTGTGACAGGATCCCTGGAGCCACTCTACTCCCCCACCCCCACCTAGTCTCAGCCGCCCCCCCCAACAGCACCCCAGCTGCTGCCTGCCTTCTCCCCATAGAGGTATGGGGAGCCTGGGGTGTAGGCCTTGTCCTTGTTCCCTTTCCAGTGGTAAGAAAGCTGCCTTGATTCTTGCTGTGTCTCCTTTCTCCATGGTAACCTCTAGAAACTGCCAGGACACTGCAGCTCCCTCCCAGCTTCTCTGGCAAACCTGAGGAGCTGTAATTGTGATCTTCACTTAAATATTCTCTGTCCAGGGGCTGGAGTGATAGCACAGCAGGGAGGGCGTTTGCCTTGCACGTGGCCAACCCAGATTCGATTCCCAGCATCCCATATGGTCCCCCGAGCACCGCCAGGAGTAATTCCTGAGTGCATGAGCCAGGAGTAACCCCTGTGCAAAGCCGGGTGTGACCCAAAAAGCAATAAATAAATAAATATTCTCTGGCCAGAGACGCGGCACACACCCTCCCTACACCTATTTATTTCCACCTGGCTTCAGGCTCTTCCTCTGCTTCCCTTTCCCCCCTTAACTCAGTCTTAGGGGTATTCCAGAATGGAGGCTCCAGGGAGACACAACCAGGTCAGTAGGGTGATGTCTACAGCAAGCAGAAGTGAACAGCCCCCAATAGGGTGTGTGTGGAAATATGTGTTTTAGTTGGAAAGGTGTTAGCATTGCCTCACTACTGTTACCGGACAGGACATGCAGATTCAGGCTGGGGATGCCCCTGAAAGTCTGGAGTACATGCTGGGCAGCAGGTCCTGACTTCCATGGCTAGCACCACAGACTCATCAGTTACTGCAGCACCGCAGGGTCTGACCCCTCCACACCTCTCGCAGAGAACTGCAAACTTTCAGTGCCTCTGAATACAGATGGCATCTTGTCTGTGGCAGCGAGGCTGGGCCAGCAGAGTCGCGGGCTCAGAAACCTCCACTTGCTTCCTGGGGTCAGCAGGAAAATGAAAGACACTCAGGAGGCTTGCTCTGAGACTTAGATTCTGCAGACATGCCTGTGTTTCATTGACGAGGACCTCTACATGGCCTTGGGGACTGCCCGGGCACCACCATGAACAAGAGGAGGCACCCAGTGTTTATTTGCGCTCCCTCAACCACAGAGCCTGTCTGGAAGCTGTGAGTCCAAAGATTGCTCCCCACT